TACTCCATAGTGACATCGTGTGTCCCATCACTAATTAAATATTACCTCGCTAATTATACGACATAATCCATCCAAAATCAATAAGCTTCTGGTCCGAGCTATGGTGAATGCACATGCAAAATTTGCAGCAGATTTAACCTAGCTTTCGTGAGCTATCGCGTGCATCTAACAGACAGACAGACAAACAAACAGACAAATACCTATCAACATACTTACCGATCTTAAGATCAATAAGTAACAGGTTTACAGTATAGCGATTCTAATAATAATTACGAGAATTCAAAATATTCGGAAAAATTCATTAATGAATTCAGCTAGTCCAGAAGCGTCTACACCCACCGTTAACAACCTTTATTCTCTTGTGGTTCATTTTCAGTTTCGAAAGAATCTTAGGCCCACAAACCCCCAATTCAGAGTAAAACAAAAAAAGCATTTTTATTAACATAAAAAATGCAGTGAAAGTGTTTATTTATCAGCTTGTCGAGTGGAACTTCCAAACCTCAGCCATATATTTTTCTTGGGACCTAATGTAGGCCCAATGGAAACTCATTTCAAATATCTCTTTCCGGCATAATAAATATTCAACATATGGCTGGAATAAGTCATTCAAATTCATATGTAACTCGACACTAAACTAAGGTTAAAGAGTTAGTTTACACAAATACAAGAAATTCATTAACAAGGCTGAGTTCTAATAATAGTTAGAAGATCTGTTTCAATGAGATTTTCAAATATTTGAAAAATTCATTGAATGAGTCAAGTTATTCCAGAAGCGTCTATCCCTGCTGTTCACATTCTTTATCCTCTTGTGGCCCATTTTCAGCTTAAAAAGAAATTCTAGGTCCACAAAATAAAAATTTCTAGTATCATTAAAAATCCTTTTTCTTGAATAAGAACAGTGAAAGTGTTAAGGGCCGAACTAATACGTGTGTCTATTCACTGTGTTGTTAAAGTTTAACTTCTAAACGTTGGTTAAATTTCAGTCATACATTTCTCTGGGACTTACTGGGCATCGCTAATTGGCTTCCCAGGTCTGCAAGAGCTGCGTTAAGCCATTCAAGTTCATATGTAACCCGATACTTAACTAGGTTAAAGAGTTAGTTTATACAAATAAAACTAATTCGGTAACGTGACCCAAGAATACGTTTCTAATAATTAATTACGATATCGGTTTCATTGAAAATTTCAAATATTCGAAAAATTAACTGAATGAGTCTAACTAGTCCAGAAGCGGTTATCCCTGCTATTCACATTATTATTTTTTGGCTCATTTTGAGCGCCAAAAGAAATTTTGCCCACTAAATTTATATCACAAGTATATATCACAAATTTTTTTTCAATTTTATTGATATAAACAATACAGTATAGGTGTTAATGATCAAACTAATCTTTTTGTTTATTTATTATGTTTTCTAAACTCTGGTTCAACCTCCGGCGTACATTGATTGTCTTCCCACAGTTGGAAGAGGTAGTATTTGGAAAGACTGGAATCTTTCCGGTATATTAAATGTTCAATATATGGGTGGAATAAGTCAGTCACGTTCGTTTGTAACTCGACTTAGTGTCTACGAATACAACAAATTCATTACCAAGTTTACAGAATCAGGGTTCTTATAATACCATAATTAAACCGTAAATTTCAAAATTAACTGGGTGAATTCTGCCAGGAACAATTTGCAATATATAACCGATTTAGCCATTTAACTCGATTTAACTCGACACCTACACTTAGGTTAAAGAGTTTGTTTATACAAATACAACAAATTCATTAACAAGACCCAAGAATAGGTTTTCTAATACAGTAATTATTCACGAAATCTGTTCCATATAGAATTCCAAATATTTGAAAATCAGTTCGAAAGCGGTACCCCTGCTGCTTACATCCTTTATTCTCTTGTGGCCCATTTTAAAGAAAAAAGCATAAAAAGAAATCTTCCAAACCGTGGTTCAATTTTAGCCGTACACTTTTCTTAGGACCTACAGGACAATGCTGACTGCCATCCCAGGGTTGTGAGCGCTAATATTATTAGGAAAGACGGAAATCTTTTCGGGATGGTAAATACGCAATATATAGCGCGACTTATTCAGTAAAATTTGTTCGTAACCAGACACCTTTGCTAAGGTTAAAGTGTTTGTTTATACAAATTCATTAAGAAGTTTACGAATAATAATCATAAGATCGGTTTCATGGTAAATTTCAAATATTCAATCGATTGACTGATTGTCCTCGCAGGACTCTAACTTTTCTGCATATTTTTTTTGAAACAGAGGTTATTTATACAGTCTGGTGACCCATGGGTTGAGGAACACTGAAATACAGTATTCAAGTTTGCTTGTGACTCGACACCCATATTAATGTGTTGGTGTATAAACAAAAAATCATCAAAAGGTTCCAGTTTCAGAGTTCTAAATTAATCATAAGATCGCGTTTAGCAAGAATCACAGTGGATTTTAAATACAAACAGATATTCATTTGAAGCCAGAATTAATTCAATTCAAGTTCTACAGCAAAATGCTCTTGCGGCGATTTTCCACGTGGTAAATATTCCTACGCAGCGAAATTCTCTGCGGCGAGAGTTCCTACGGCAAAATTTTCTCCGGAAAATTTTCCGGACACGTTTTGTAATATCGTGATAATGGGCGCCTTTTTTAGTTCGTCGTGGTTTCTGGAATGAGGAACCCGTTGTTAGTGAATTCGATAACAGAAAAGCTGCTTTTAAAGTTTTGAATTCCAACACTATAGTTATAATTATACATCTATGTTAGTAGAATTCTGGGGGTTTACGCCGGGTGTGTGCAACCTCTAATAGAGGAGGGCCAGAAACATATATCTGGTTGGAACTGCGGGTCGCACTTTCATTTAACATAACTTCTTAGTTATTATTTTGAATATTGATCATCTGATAGACTTTGGTCGCTTAGCACAAGTTAGTTGTAGGGTATTGTAACGTCATAAACATAGATAACAAATGGGACTCAGGTATAGGCTTTGCAACGCAAAAAGATTGGAATCACTACCACGTACCAGATTAAACTAAAAACTTGTTCCGCGAGCCGCACGCCATACAAAATTGGCACTCATCCGCTCACCCGCGGACCGCACAATTGCTCATTATGGGCCGCATTTGGCCCGCGGGCCGCAGGTTGCACACTCCTCGTTCACGCGAATCCTTTCTTATTTTAGACGTTCGACGACTGAAGCATTTGGGTAGCGTCTACCGCAACTGACGGATCGAGTTATATCTGGCGTTTCGAAAGTTATGTATAAGATTTATGTAAAACGCGCCATGTTAATGAAGCTTACGAAGTGACATTAATATATTTTTTCGAAATGAGGGAATTTGTTGTTATTGAGTTTAATACAAAAAAGACCCCGTTCTACAAATTCAAATCTCACAGCTGCATGTTACACCAAAATGACAAACCCATGGCAACTCTTAAATCTGTATCTCACGTTACCCCCAAATAATGAACCAATGACTCCTTTAGTTGTATCTATATATATTCATAAATGTCGCGTGTTACTTAGGTGAAAGGTTTCCAACCGCCCCCGTATTTCGCAATATTTTGTCAATAATGCCGATTACATACATATTATGTGTACAAGGAGCAGCTGCCTTATTGCCAGCACATAGTACGCACGACAATATTTTGGTCAATAATACAACTCTCAGAGTACAATATGTACGGTATTAATAAAAAATGGCAATTGTTAAATAAGCAGTAAAGCTCAACGGTTGGCGAGTTTGAGGTTGAGTCTACCCTAACACACCCACCACCCTTTTTCATATTATTTTGACATATATACATATTGTGTACCATCAGGAGTAGGGGTTTTATTGACAAAATATACGGCGCACGATAATATTTTTACATAAATAAAATTTCTACAACAGTTTGCTTGCACCGACAATATGGTGGGGACATTATGGAACGTGTACCAGGTTGGGGTTAGGCCATAATTTCATTCCGATTTTCCTTATTTTAGAGTTCTATTACGAGTTCGGGGGGACCTCCAGAAGTATACGCGCCAAGATGGCGCACAGCCTGGAGCCCCGTTCGGGGACTGTCTGTGTTAGCCAAGTGAATATACCCCCGCCCTACACATGCTTGCCCATCGAACCTTCGTGGGTTTGCGTGTTCAGATTCATTGCAAGATAATGATGTGAAAAAGGATTGATGAATTCATTGAAATTTTTCCTGATAATTTGGTGCCGCACAAACAAAAAGTTTTGGAACCGCTGCTGTAATTTATATCAAACATGGGTTTGTTCGACCTTGTTAACCTCAAAGCCTAGCCTGTGTCTTTCCGTTTGTCGAATGTTGACTAATTGTTTTTTCAAATTGTAATTTATTTGCATTTGAAAAATACAACACCATCATAACACATCGGCTCGCTTTTTAAGCCCTTCTTTTATCATGGTTCAATGGCGACATATAGCGGCCAGTAATCGCAATATTAAACTTTCTAAGGACTGTGGATTAGTTAGGAGAGGATTTACATATTTATCCAGAGGGGAAAAAAACATAAAACGTCTCAATCATATGGTGAACCACGGCCTCTTGTTCGGTTTCTACTCCATGTCGAGTATGGGATCATGTTTAAATTTATAATATTTCTTGGAAACGGAAATGAGGCGACAATTGCCGTACGATGCATTCTACTTTACCTAAGTAGCCCAGAATGTGCGCAACGCAAGCATTGCTTGTATTTTTGAATGGTAATTTGAATTTGGCAACCACAGCATTATACGATGGAGTCACCTTCTTCACTCTCTCCCTAAATAATTTGGAACTGCTCGATGTCTCACAGAGCACCGACCTTATTTAATGATATCCAACAAGCAAACCAGCAATTAGACACGCCAAAATACTCTCGAAAAATAAGAATTAAATATTTTGCGATAGTGAAGTATGACAAAATTTTTTTTCTGGGTTACAGGCCAGCATTCTATTCCTCCATTCCATTTATGTGTATTCACCAGTTACTGGCAATACCTACGGATTTGTACAAATTTATTCCAATTTAAAAAATAATCCACAGCTTTACCAAAAGTCAAGGCAAGATACAGTGTTGCTGAGTTTAAATTATAAATGCCTATTGAATCAACCAGCTGTAAGAATCACTGTCAGTTCGAGGCATCACTCAGAAGAAAACACGTGTCAATATTACTAAGACAAAAAATGAAGTCACACTTTATCTGCTACACAGGGTGCGAAAAAACATGTATTTCACATAGTTTCGAGCTCTAATAGACATAATTAAATAATTATGTTGCTACATTTGTCGCAAAATATTTGGACAAAAAATGAAGTCAGAATCATCTACTTCTACTACACATAGCACATGAAGCATTAAAGTCGATGACATATTTTTCAGTATAAAATTATGATGCTATCTTATCAAGAATAATTGGACAAAATATGGGGTCACGCTTTTCACAGCTACATGTTAGCTAAGGCATTAAATTCAAGTATTAAACTATAATGCTATGCTTGTTTACAATGATTGGACTAACAATTGAGTCACACTTTTATTACTAAACAGGGTACCCAAAACACCGAGTTGCTACATACACTATTTTGAAGAAAAATTAGGCGCCCTAGCAAATAAACAAGAAAACGGCATTCCAAATATACTATTTACACTTTATGCTATTTAATTCAAAAAAGATTCCCTTTGGTGCTGTTTATAAAACGTAATATTTGCAGCACTGAAAAAAAGTATAATTTGCAACAGCGAAATTTCCAATTTCCCTTTTTTATGTTCTCAAACTATCCTGTTGAGTATAAAATACAATTCTACTGAGTGGAGAAAAATCACCATTAAACACGAAAGCAGTACATTCCATAAATTTAGCTTTATCCAAGCAATGGCTCAAAATGACTGACAATCACTGGATATTGGACAATTATTGCTTTGTATTAAATCATAATAACATTTTCAGCGAAGACTTGTCAAATTATTTATTAAAAAACTAGTCAGGAATAAACATCATGAATAAGTGAAAAAACTGGAAGAATCAACTATGCACAATATGTACCATTTGATCAAAATTTTTCAATTTGAATATGCAAGCCCCAAAATCTGCTATCAAGTGAAATTATGAATATTAAAGATAGTTACAATTTCAAAAAAAACTTTCGAATCAAACTTAGACTAATTTCACATATAAAACAGTTTTCATTTTCTAATTAATTAGAGCAAAGTACTGGTACATACTATTTCACAAAGATGGTCACTCAGAAATGAGAAAATTGACTGAAGCTAGAAAACCATTTCACAAAAAAATCGCTTAGTCACAGACACACAATACAAAAGCCGAATATTTTGACCTGAAGTGAAGCATATAACTAGTGTAGATAGTTTTATAATGAAAATACATCACTGAAAGAGCCCAAATATGTAACAAAATTTGAGTAAAAATTCCACAATTCCACATATGAAACGACATTTCAATTTAGATACACTAACAAAATCACATCTAAGAGACACAATTCTATAAAGATGGCCATAAGTCTGCAATATGGAGTCCAAACTTTGAGATTATATATTTGACATTTGGTATGCAGCATTTAACTAGTATGAATAGTTTATGATTCAGATTGCTGCAGCGCTGAAAATACTGTCGAATAAAAATTCCTCGATTTTAAGCATGAAGCAGTATATCAATTCAATTTGAAATATTCCTTATGAAACTTCAGAACTAACATTCTTATACAAAACACAAAAAGCTAGTTATCCAAATGTCAATTTCTAATTTTTACATGGATACACTTTTAAATAACCCACATAAATCCCGATACATAAGAATTATCATTTAATAAATAAAAAATCACTTTCAATTTTCATAAAAATTACACAAAATCAAAGTGAAATTGAAAAAAAAAAACTGGCATGTATGAATTATTTTACTAAATTGTTGTGAAAGATCACTTTTCTTTGCAACTAATTTTCAGTTCTCGAAGATGGTCTAATTAAATACTGTCCAAATATTTCAGTATAGCTCTTTTGTTTATCTTAACAAAAGCAATCGCCATACTCAAGTTATTTAATAAACTGCCATGTCAAGAAATAATCCGCGAGAGGGCATATTAGAGCAAGAAATGTCTTATGAAACAGTTAACAAATATTACAGCACGAATTACACGAGATAAAAATTGTTCTTTATAAAATTGTCCGCCTTTAAATGTTGATAATCATCATCAAAATCATCCAGAAAACGCCAGCAAATCAGCTTGAACATTGGTGACAAAATGACGTAAACGAAAAAATCATTCTCTTTATTTTTCGAGATGTGTTTTACTCTGTACTCAGATGTATAAGTAGCATGTTGGGAAGACCAGTTTTCTTGACATCAGGATCTGTATTATGAAAACTTAGTGGGTAATTAGCTCAAAGCAAGAAGTCGGCAAAAGACTTAAAATATGAATTTTATTTTTTTTCATGCGCGCGTACAATGCTAAGATACAACCGGCTTATTTAGGTAGCTAGGAAAGATCAGAGGGCTAGGGTTGAAATCATAGACAGGGACACAGAATATAACCACACACACACACACAAGTCCCAAACAAAATAAAGTCGGGCAGACAAACAGCAGAGCAGATTTTTTTGACAGACATCAGAATCTAAATTGAAAAACTTTTGGTAAAATAGGAAGCTCAAGTAAAAATTATAATTTAAATTTTTTGTCTTTTTTTTCGATGCTGAAATTCCATGTATTTGGATTTACTATGGGTATTCATAACATACAAGCAGTTTATTTGAGTAGCTAGGGTGTTCGGTGGCAGAGGCGCCAGAAATTTTCGAAATGTTCTGAAATTTGTAATCCCCAAGTTGGATTGTAACAGCAGTCCGGTCCGTCTGAGGCGAAAAAACATGGGATTTCAAGTCTTGAGGTTCTAAAAGACAAAAATCCAGGATATTCCACACACACACAAGTCCACACACATTTAGTCAGACAAACTGAAATTTTTTTTTTGGCCTGGCATCCGCTGCCAAATTTCTGAAATATCTTTCGAGTACAATGGCACACTGGGGTTGAACTGGCACAAGCCGAAGAGCCGGCATACTTGTGTCCTTGTTCAACAATTGGCTATTAAATTTTGAATAACAATATACAGTCACAATGCATTCAGTCAAAAAAATTTCAGCAAAACATCCATGTAAAATAAGAAATATGAGGCACATAAAACAGTGTTTTCTAATTCATTAATTTATAAAATTACTATTAAAAAGGAGAAGTTCATTCAAACCAGTTGTCAAGGACATTCAGACAAGTATGCAAAATATCCCCTCAAGACGGTATAAGCTATATTTCAAATTTACGCTGCTATGAAATTTTATCTAAAAATTAAGCGACTCAAGAAGATTTTCAGGCGACCCAGCTTTGAGTCGCGGCCCATAGGTTGGAGAACACTGCCATAGATCAACATATCAAACACACTAGAAAAACAGACTGAAATATGCCACAGAACGTTTCCTAATCTTAATATATAGTTAGAACTAGTCAGTACAACATTGGCGGCAATTATATAAAGATATCGCATATGAGAACTGTATATCGTCAGCAATAATCAGCAAATCATTTTGCAAATCAAACCCAAACTTGCACTTTTCATATGGGATAGCGAACTTCATGGTTAAATATTGCGGGAATTCACTCAAAATCAATAAATGAAACCACACACAATTTCTCAGTCAGAAATGAAAGTGGCCCATTTTATCGTGTGCACTCACTCATAAGTGAATATAACGCATCTGCCAGCAAAGATCACTCAAGTAACAAAGCTACTGATTCTATAGAGAAGTATGATAGTACATTATGCGCATTCACTCATTAGATTGTGTCACCTATTAGCCTATTAAATTTTTAACTGTTTTTCTTATGAAATAAAAACTCAAATTTTTCCGATTATGACAGACAATGCGACAAGATCAGCATAACTAATGAAATTTTGGAAAATAGCAATATCTATCACCAAAAATCGAGCTTGTGAAATAGCGCTACCGCTTTCTAGAAATGCAAAACAGTTTAAAAAAAACGTGTCATTTATCACCAAAATTCAAGCTTTTCTGCTGACGCTTTCAAGTTGAGCATTTCAACGGTATCTTCTTCCACTGCCTCCCCCACGTCTTCTGAAACCCCCTCCATCTCTGCCCCTTCCCCCCTCCATTCCAGAGCTGTATTTCCCACCAGGAGTGCGATAAAGCTGTCGATCCCCTTTTCCGGTACGTTTCTGGTCCCCGTTTGTAGCAGAAGGGGTGCTGGCAGGTCGTTTTTGAGCTTGTTTTGGGTCGGCTTCTGTTGTTGCAGGTTTCCAAGATAAATTGATCGAGGATTTGTAAGATGGGGGATTGTGGAACAGATCTTTTACCAGAGTGTTGATATTGTTGCAAGTTTTAAGAGCAACAACTTTTAGCTTGCTTTGCGGTTCTGATTTCAGTTGTTCGCGTGTTTTTCCTTGAAGAGCCATACGTAACTGCTTGATGTAGAGTGCCAATCCTCTTGCAAAATATTGCAAACGCTTGCGGAAATCTTTGAGTCGTTCCTCTACCTCTTCGTTTGTGAGAAAATCTGGATTTTTTGAAGTTAACTGGTAAAAGGCGTACAAAAGACACTCAACATATGAGAAATTAAGGGTAGGGTCCCCAGGTGTTGTTGAATTTTCATCATCTCCCTCTGGTGGCAACGGCATGTATTCAATGAGAACTTTGTACAACGGTTCAATAGAACTGATAACCTTTGACCCATCGCCAATAAACGGTGACATTTCGGCTAAAAACTTGATAATTTCCAAACGCCGATCTTCTTTCTTCTCCTCTTCGACTTGAATATCTTTCAACTTCGGAACGATGTTTTCGCAAACATATTTAACAAATAACGACGAATGAACGTTCTTTGAATATAACGGTTGAGCGATTTTCATACACTGAATGATTTTGCTGACGGAATCTTCATCTGAAGCGCTGAATTCATCATCTGTAATTTTTTCGATAATAATGGTCAGAATTTGTTGACGACCTTGGAACGTTTGAAGGTGACTCAATGATGAAATGACTTTGATAAGTTGTTGAAATTCGTCACCAGTGACGTCCTCCATTATCTTTTTCGTTTCGGTCAACACATATTCCTCAACGTCTTTTGTCATGACAGATTCGGAGAATGTTTTCAGCTTGTTGCATAAAAACCCGATAGCACGTTCCCGGATAACATCCTCACCTTGCTGAATTTGAGAGAAAAGACCTTTCAATGTATCCCTTGCGTCGAGTTCGAACAGAGCAACAAGCGCAATATTAACAGAGCTCAATTCACTGTTATCATCTGTCTGGGTCAGTTGCACAAGGACGTCAGCCAGCCGCTGGATTTGAAGAGGATCATACTTGCATATGTTGGGTATTTCTTTAATAGCAGCTCGCCTGATTGAAGAGTCGTCATCTTCACATAAATCCATGATAGCATTGAGGGAATCTTCCGATTTGTCTTTAAAATATCGGAAAAATCTTGAAATAAACTGCGCTGATAATCTTTTCGCAGATTGGTTTCCCTGTACGCCTTTTAAAATTGTCTCATAGCAATCTACATGCTCAGAAGCTTTGTCTTTTGCATCTGCTAACACGCCAAAACTCTTGTATAACATTTCCACCGTAACCGTCGTCATTTTGAAGAATTCGTGAGAAAGCCACGCTAGCTCGGGAAAACAAACAGAAAAGCGCCAAACGCGTGCCCGACGTTTTGCCGACAAGTTCTAAGGTTGCCAGATATTGGTCAGCCGGATACGCAAATCATTATCGATTATTTTCACGATACATAGTTTGGTGGCTTTATATTTGATTATCCTAATGAATTTAAATAACAATATCGTATATATCTAATTCACCTATGTTTTATATGCAACTTTTACTTATTTTATTTTTTAGTGTTTTTAAATTTATATATTGACATTGAAAAAAGTTCAAACTGGCAATAGGTGCCTGTACCAATTTACCACGAGTTTTTCGTTCTGGACCTTTCCCCGACCATCGACTTCCTTGTTTACTTCGTGACATTGGCCAATTAGCAAGATGCAAAAAGTGAGGTGACCATCCTTCCTTTTCGCATCCGCTCAGACTCTTTTCTCACTCAAACAGATTTTCAGGCGTGGTCGTAAACGTTACCTTGTTTTCAAACTCTATTCGTCAGAGAATTCAGTGATCACTCTGTCTTCCTAGAAGTTTTAATTTAATTGTAGTAATAAAAAATTAGTGTAGAAATAGCTGCTATAGACTAGGCTAAAATTCTACTTCGTGTCATTGGCCAATCAGCAAGATCCAAAAAAGTGACGTAACAATGCCCCCTTTTTGCATCCGCTCAGACACTCTCCTCACTTAGGCCGGCCGCACACAGCATCAATATTTTTCTGCAAAAAATATTTTCTAAGCAATATTTCTCACGAAAATATTTATTGGCGCAATATCAAGAAAAAATATTTCTTCGCTAGCGCACACTGAGTGTTCTTGTTTGTTCAATAATTATCCGCGCGCCGCGCCACTTCGTTATGTCAAGCAAAATTCATTTACAAGGTTGCAATTGACAAGCGACTCTACTTATATGGAAATATGTATGAAGTGTGTTTCCAAAATGTAGTAATGGTACCGGATACCGTACGGTACCCCCACGAGATATATGCAGTCTCTGCGTACGGCGCGCCTGTTCACAGTACCGCACAGAATGCCGGTAAGTGCATGTACAACCGTACCGGTCTGTCGGTACGTACCTGTAGTAATAGATACCGTACGGTACCACAGAGCATGTTGCAAGGTTACTTTAGGGATCTGATGTTTTCATTCAGATTAACTAATGCGTTACTGGGTAACGGTATCTGAGATATGCCTATACGAACTTTAGAAAGTCTGAAAGTTAGCAATTTCCACATTAAGCCAAGAATAATTTCAAAATTGCACTGTACCGTACCGGTACCGTACCCAACTGTGTTTTCTGGTCAGACTCATGTACCGGTACATACTTGTAGGTAGCGGCACCGGAAATTTAGACAAGTGTCTGTGCATTATACTCCCAACTGTTTTCTCTTTTCAAATATATGTAGGCTACAGGAGATTGTAATATTTATATAGGCCTATGTGTCACTGTCAGTATGGATGATGACGAAGAAGATATCGATGTCATTTTATTATTTTGGCTTTCAAAGAAAAAGGAAAGTCAAAGGAGTCGCCGTATCTGGACTCATCCGATTAACAAAAAGCGAAGTGTTTACGGTTCTTATCACCACGTATTCCATGAATTGAGCAATGATCGTCTGCGGTTCTGCAGTTATTCAAGAATGTCTTTAGACTGCTTCAACATACTGGTTTCAAAAATAACTCCATTCGTGAAAAAACGACGAGACACAAACTCCAGGAAATATATCAGAGTTGAAGAAAGATTGGTTGTCACTTTAAGGTGGTTGTCTACACATTGTTGTTTGATGCGGTCTGGTCTTATAAGCTTCTAAACCTATTTTCATAGATTATGACCTCATGGGTTTGGCGGTATAGGCTGGTAACCAGACGAGAAATCGTGGTTCGCCATATGATTAAGCCGTATTATCGGGTTTCCTCTCCCCCAGGATAAATATGTAAATCCTATTCTATCTATGTTGAAAATCATTTTTTGTTTTCAATATTATTGCTGATACATTTTGGCAAGGAATATCTGGCAGGCATTTTCTAATGAATAGTATTTTACCCACTTTTTGACTGGATTGCATCCAGGCTTGTACATATAAAATAAATTTCTCATTTTTATTTCAGGTACCTTGCCACTGGATTGAGTTTTAGGCAAATGACCTTCGATTTCAGAATGGGAGAGACGACCATTGGAAAGATTGTTGAGGAAATATGCGAGGCTATTTTCAAAAGTCTCAAAAGCGAATACATGCCCACACCAAAACAGAATGACTGGCTTGAAATTGCCAATAATTTTCACAAATTGTGGAATGTGCCTAATACATTAGGTGCAATAGATGGAAAACATATTAAGAGTGAGAAAGCCTCATGGGAGTGGATCATCATTTTTTAATTATAAAGGTTATCATTCGTTGGTTCTCATGGCTTGCGCCGATGCCGAAGGGATCTTCACTACTATCGATGTTGGTGATTATGGAAGAAACAGTGATGGAGGAGTATTCAAACAATCCAGTTTGGGAAAAGCATTGTATACTGGCCAACTTGCACTCCCATCTGATTCTCCATTGCCATCATCTGAAACTGAACAAACTTTTCCCTACTTTTTCATTGCAGATGAGGCATTCCAGTTATCCAGAAGGATAATGAAACCTTACCCACAACGAGGGCTTACTTCTGACAAAAGAATATATAATTATCGCATGTCACGTGGGCGGCGCATTATTGAATGTGCATTTGGAATGATGTGCGCAAAGTGGGGAGTATTGAATACTGCTATGAAGTGCATAGACATGAACAAAGCTGTGTCAATTGTTTGTGCAACATGTATACTGCACAACTTTGTCAGAATTTTAGAAGGAAAGCCAATGGAAAAGTTTGTTGAATTTATTTCCAAAAAAAGTTCAGATATTCCCTCTCAACAATTGCTAGGTGGTATGCCAGAAAATGGAAATCGCCCATCAAATGAAGCAATAAGAATACGCGACAACATTTGTGAATATTTTATGGGAGTTGGCAGTGTTCCGTGGCAGACACAATCTGCTTTGGGGCATATGGGAGACCAAAGATAAGCTAGAACTACTATAGGTACACTTCTGACACCAACAAACTGATCAAAATGCTTCTTTGCAGTCGAATGCTATAATACTGAGGCTGATATCAATGTGTTAATGCATACCAACATTATACTCTGAGATGACCAAACTCAAATAATTTACCAATTCCCAATACATTTGCAGGAAAATATCTTCTATAGGGTCACGCTGAACAGAACAAGCGTATATACGTTGGACTGATTTTATATTTAGGAGGCTGGGGTAAAGACTGCTTTGAATGGTTTTTACAACTGGCAGAACATGAGCTTGCATCCATCCAAACACACTTGGTTTAATTTGTTCAATTTTACAAAAGCGTCAGAAACCACTACCTATATGCATTTACTTCGACAAAATAAATGAAAACAGTATCTCTCATTTTGATGTTTATTTATATTGATAGTTTTTACCAAAAGCCAGATTGAAATAAGAATAGTTCGTAATCCAGCAATGTTAATTTGGCATGATCTAATCACAGTCAACCTGCAGTATAGTTATACAATCATTGTCGCTATCTTCCACATTTTCTGTAATTAACTCTAAGATCCTCTTTTTAAATTTCAACTTTCTCTTTTTATCAAAGCTCTTCATATCTGGCAAAATAGACATCAGAAAATTAAAATCGGGGTCATTCCTTTCCAATCCTCTCTCCTCTCTTGCTTTTAGGTAACTTATTATTGCTTTATCAATATTTGATGCTTTGCTCTCAACCTGAACCCTTTTGACCAGCCTTCTTTTCTCTCTAGCATCACCCTCTTGTACAATATCACTTGCACTCAATGAACTTCCTTCAAAGCTTTGGTCTGACGATTCATTCTCTGCGGTTTCATAATCGGGACATTCAATAACTTCTAAATCTAAATTCCCTCTCTGTGCCCTCGATTTTAAATGAGGCATAACAAATCCCATATATTCATGCAAGTAATAGGGTTTCTTTGCTGTCGTGCCTGATCCTGATGGTGGTTGGTCACGCAGATTTTTCATCAGAGCTGTCCTGAGCTTCTTCCATGTCTCCTTGCAGTTATCCACTGAAATAATTATCATCTAATAATAAATTGAAAACTTTTGATAAGCCGATGAAAAGAAAAATAAAATAAATTTTATCCTCAACTAAAGGTGGTATGGTATTGATAGAGTCGTATGCTAAGGGGTATTTGATATGAATTTGCAGTTGGACACAGACCGAGAAAAAGTCAACGTTTGAAGAAATTTGATAAGTGGAAAAGAACTAAATACATACATTTTTAGGAGAAAAAGAAACAGGTGCGTAGATAGTTTGTCAACAAATGGGTTGAGAATTGACAGCTAGTCAAATGGAAGTGAAAACTTAGGAAAGCCTGGTAGGATATGCCACATCTTTGTACAGAGAAAATATTTTACTGATGTCTTTTTTACTATGTGCAATACTAACCGGTTTCATTCACTTCTTCTGCTACTGTTTTCCAAATTAACATCTGCACATTTCTGTCACTGTATGCCGGGTTACACACATCGTAAAGCTCAGAGTGTTGCTCAATAGCTTGCAACAGAAGGATGTTTTTATTTGCATCATGTGACCGTTTCATTTTAAGATAACAGATATGATTCACTGAAAATTATAACCATCAATTCAATTCGTATACCAGAAACTTATACATTCTAAATTATATATACTGAACTGTACGTATAGAAGCTAATAAGAAAAATTTTTAGGGGCGAATTTTTGGCTTATTAATCAACTAATAATGTCACAACAACCAAACACTGTGTGTAACTTTTCATGTGTCATAATCCGGCTGTATTTGAATTTCAGTATGGTACCAGTACCGGTACTGTACCCAATGATATGGTACCGGTATGTCAGTATGTGTGACACCGGTACCGGTACCAAAACACTGAAACATTGTTTGGACTTTCAGAATCAGTTGTTCCCCAAAATAGCCAAATCAGCCGTATACCGTACTGATAAACATGCACCATTACCTACCGGTACCGGTATGTTTTCATCATCTTGTCACCCACCAATTAGAATAGGATTTACATATTTATACCGAGGAAGCGAAAATTAAAATGAAATACGGCACGGTACCGGTACCGGTACTGGTTCCCGGGATAGAAACTACCTAGCCTCAGTTTATGTACCGGTACCGGTACCGTATTTTCCACTATGTCCAACTGCCCTGATTGCTATTACGGTACCGGTCTAACTTCACCATGCGAACCACAAAGCAATGTCACAAAACTAAATACCGTAACTGTTTATTCTAAACTAACTCTTCACAGCCGTCAACAAGATAACGCAAACAGCTGAAAACGCAGCTATGGCGAGTTTCCCCGCAAGGCAATTATCGCGCGCAAGCAATAAAAATAGAACATGATCTATTGCTCGAAAAAAATAGAACAGCAATAAATTCACTCAAAATATTGCCTAAATTCACGAAACAATAAAGTCTCACGTGTGTGCGGGTTTTCAATAAACAATGGGAGTTCTAAAAAATATATTGCGTCGCAATAAAAATATTGTCGCTGTGTGCGGCCGGCCTTAGACAGATTTTCAGGCGTGGTTGTGAACATTACCTCGTTTTCGCGTTTTTGAACTATATTCGTCAGTTTTCAGTCGTGTTTTTGAAATTAACATATAATTCAGATAATTCAATGATCACTATGTCTTTTAAGAAGTTTCAATTTAATCGCAGTAGGCCTAATGGAGAATTGGTATAGAAATAGCTGTGATAGACTAGGCTAAAATTCCTTACAGGTATTTCTAAAAAACAGATTATTGTACGCAATGGATCATAATGATTCATATCATAATGAAGTTTTGAAACAAATACCTCATTTTACAGGGGCCAACTCGCTGAACCACTCTTAAAATAGGCCCCGAAAATTTTGCAATGGTGCAGTGTAGGTAGAATTTTTGGGAGTCAAGGGTCGGGAAGAGGTCCGTTGGAGCGCAGCCTGCAGCACATGCTATACAAATTTGAAATAGTATCAAAGTTTTGTATATTCTGAAAAAATTACAATAGAATATTTTAACAATCTTTTTCATGCAGAGCTACGCTGCTGTCAAATAAAATAAAAGTGCGTTTCTCCGAAGCGAAATACGGTACTCGCGAGAATAAATTTACTTAAAAGACATCAACCAATGATTTTGCCGGCTTTTGTCGCTTTGTATTAATATTCAAACAAAATTTGGTTTATATGCCTTCAAAGCGAAGCTTTTTATTCAAATCAAAAAGCTGCTTCCTGCTCACGCGCACTCTTAGTGGATGAAGTGGTTTCCATAGTTACCGGAACGCGGTGAATCCCCAATCTCGAGTACTTCCAGAAAAGATTTGTATAAGTATGAGCTTATTTGGTCAGGTGGGGGTGAAGAAAGTGACTGTTAAATCTATTGTTTGGTTACTATTCCAGCTATGAAATGTAGGAATAGCAAGTACCGTACGCTGGTAGCAACAATCTTCCCACAAAGCTGCTCCACCACAATTTTCAGACTTGTGTTTTTCATATTTCTTATTTGTAATGTTTTTAAGGATAGGATATACATATTTATTCCAAGTAGAGGAAGGCTGATTAAACGGGCCAATCATATAGTTGCCAGCGGTTACATGAACCATGCTACGACGAGGAGGAGTCCAGCAATCCTCTTGCACATAATGATCCTCACATGGGACTCGAACCTGCCAGGCCACACAGGATATTCGAAGATGCGGTGGTGAGCGTATTCCCAAAGCTTAGCACGATGTGTTAGTTCATGATGCATTTATATCGGACTGACAAATACGTGACAATGAGTGATTGTTTATTTATCTAGGTGGTTATTAGAGATAGATAAAATCAACAAATGAGTATATTCAAACATTGGATTTGGGAGTGATCAACCACAGCGAGAGCCATGTATCAAACAATGGAGATTTACATGGCTCGTAAAAAGCAAGTTCCAGAGCATTACAAGTGAGTTTATTTGTATGAAATTATTGAACTTTGGTACGATTAATCATCTCGATGAATAAGAATTTAGTAGTCAGTAATTTATTTTTCAATCAATGCTGAAAATACGTAACGTATATATATGATGTAGAAGAAAATTAAAAAAAGATTTCAGGGTATAGGCAAACTCCAAAAAATTATCACTGGTTGTAGAGCAGCGACACCCTAAATTTGGTCTAACCCAGCTGGGATCATTTTCGTAGAAATGTACTTTTTGTGAGAAAGAATTGTGAAGTGTGACTGCATGCACATTTGGAATGTTGGCTAGACTTACACTTTCTGCTCACAATAGACTGTATTGGAATGCAATGCGGTCTTGTGCGAGTTGTCCCACAATCTATACCAGTGGGCTGCGCCCTGCTGCTTGGCCACAAAAACATTTTTAGGTCGACCACAAACCTATTACAATTTGTCAAGAGTTATTGATTGATTAATTAATTAATTTTGATTGTAGCAGCAATCAATGATGATGCTTTTTGCTACTGAGGGGTTATTTACATTTTAATAATGAAGGTGAAGTATATATAATTGCGGAAAGATTTGTTTTTCTTGCAGTTTTTCTATTACATGAGAAAGTTAACGGGCCAACGAATTTTTGTGCAAGAGTGATTCATGAAAGTAAAAAGGTTGAAAACCACTGATCTTTGCGTTTGATTCAGCGAAATCAAACTTTGAACAAACTTTAAATGTGTTGAATTTTCATGTCTCGATCTTTCATTTCCAGCCCCGACTCTTATCGGATATTTGATCGAGAAGTTGGTGATGATTCATTAGGGGATTCCCGGATGAATAAACTACATATTGAAAGAAAAAATCCCCCTCCTCCAACACATCCACGAGAACCTGAAAGAAGAAATTGCCCACATCCATGGCATAGCAGATTTTTAAGGCATAATGCCAGGTAATGCAATTTATTTTCCTAGTTTCTTACACCGCTTGTTATTTTCTAATACACAATCCTTATAGCAGTGTTTAACAACCTTTTATCGCTCATGGCCCCCTTTTTGAAGCTTTTAGCAATCATGGCCCCCCTGTTCATCATTCCAGTGGAATTTATAGAGTTATTTCGATCGGTAAATTTCAAATTCCATTATGTTCGAACAATTTATGCTCAACAAAGTGTAACACCCTGTGAAATTACCTTATCAAGCAATTAAACTGGAATGAATGGTGAGTTTTCTTGTAAAGGGAAACTGAAATTAGTTTTGCACCTAACGTTGTGGCCCCCCTTCAACTGCTCTGTGGCCCCCCTTTGGGAGCCAAGGGCCCCCAGTTGAGAACCGCCGCTTTATAGTGTCAGTATCTCTTGGCAATATAGTGGATGCTCATAACTTCTCTCGAGGATCGTCACATAAATAAATGACTTTTAACAACGGAATCAGGTTTTCTAAAATACTTCCACACGCCCGAACCACGCTGCCTATCTCTTGCAGCAGAGAAATCATGAAACTATCTCGATTTGTGAATAATTTTAATAAGCGATACAGGGATAAGAACACGCGAAATTGCTTTATAAGCATTGTGACGTAACAAGCTGAAATTATAAATTATCACGTCAATTGTCACGCGGCAGTTAACCGGTTAATTTTGCCCAGTTAACAGTTAAAGTGTTTTCCCTGAAATTCCCAGCCCTAGTTACGACAGACTCCATAAAATCGATTAAAACTGTCCAACTCGAGTTTTTATGTTGTTTCTTCCATTTTCTTCCAAATTTATTTGAGGTTGCTCAATGAACCAATCTGTGTAATGGCTACGGAAAGTACGGACTTAGAACAAGACTCCTGGTGGCCATCAAGGACTAGCGATGAACCATTGAAAGTACCTGCCAGAACAATGAATACAGTGCAAAGGTATGACATGAACTGATATAAGAGAATGGATAGGATTTACATATTTATCCTAGAAGAGAGAAATAGATAATTACTGACATGGACAAACTACGGCCTGTTGGATAATTCAATCTGGCCCGCCTGATGCTGTCACAACTAAACTAAAACCAAATTTTGATGTTTTAGCTGAAAAATAGCTCAAGGAATTTGTAGAGATTATGAATAACTTTAGCTTTGGCAGGAGGCCTATTGTTTTCCTCTTTTGCTTTTGTAACACTGTGAATATTGTTCATAAGATGTAACTTTTTACGTCACACTTACATGGCAAAATTTCTGGCTCCTAGTTCAAAAACCTGGCCCTCCTCTGGATAGTTATATATTGAACCAAGGTTTCTTGTCCAGTCACCTGTTCATGTTGGATATGAGAATAGTTTGTTATTTATTCTTTAGACATGGTAATAATTAATGGTGCGTAATTAAGCAGCAGTTATGTCGGCCACCCTACGATGGCAATCCTCTCGCACATAAATATCTCCCAACGAGAATCGAGCTCGCTTAGGGCATTGAGAGGTGCCTTGACAAGTGTGTCCCTGACTCTTGCTAAATGGCGGCCAAGCTATAAACTCTCATTTGATTGCAAAACAAGGTCTGATAAGGGAAACTTATTGATTCAGTAACTAATTCGAGTCTAGATGTACGTTTTTGTAGAAAACGATTGTATATAGATTACATACTCATACACCATTATTATTCTGTGTTCAATTTCTAGATCTGATTACCAGCATTCAGCTCCGGTACGAGGTAACACACGACACAGTAGCAATCCATTTACAATCCCATCAAAAGGAATATGTGAGTAGACATTGATTATGATATTTATCTCGGGGGAGAAAAAAGACAATAACACGACTGAATTATAAGGCTACGGCATCTACGGTCTCTCGTCCGGTTACCAGTCCATGTCGGGTAATGGGATTAGTTAGCCAGTTATTTGTTTTCAGAAGCATGGACTTGATGGTGAAGAAAGCCCTCACCAACCAGCTGTTACAGCGGCCAGTACGACACCCTACACTACAGCAGCAAGGAGTCCAGCAATCCTCTCGCACATAACTATCCCACCCACGCAGGGGTTATCAGAGGTGCCGGCCTGCAGGGGCGAACATATTCCTAACGCTTAGCATGATGTGCCACACCGCAGAGCCAGGGATATGATCTTCTAGTCAACATTTTCCAAACAACCATTTTATTTTCTGTCTAGTGCCAGTGAATACTCCAAAAACCAAAGAAGATCCAGGAGATGTCTTGCTCGAAAAAATATCATATCGCCATGACTACAATTCAAGATTGGACAAAAATGAACCAATTAGAGGAAAGGTAGGAGTAGCTTGTTGATTACATTCTTCTATTTGACTCAAATATTTTTGAAGTCTGGCATTTGTGACCATGTAAATAACATTATATATGGAGGGAGATGTAAAATTTCAATACTGCTTGACATTAAAAGGATAGATGTTTCCAATCTGTGGGTCACGACGCATAGATAGATGGCCTGAAAATCCTCACGAGTCACCTGTTATTAATCCTTTTAGAGGAGAGAATTGTATGGTATTAGCTGGAAAACATTGTTAAAATGATTCCGAAAGCAGTTCATATCACTGTACAGTCCAAATTTATTTATACAAGGCCCTGGCTCCACAGTCGTTGGTGGTATTGCAAAAAAAAAATGCTGCTTACAACAAAATAACAAGTTATATGACCTGTGACAAGTATGTTCTCTGAATTAGATTATATTTCTGGGTCACATGATTTCATAAAAAAATTGCGCCGCTTGAAAATAAAAGATTGGGAGCCACTGCTTTAGGACTAGGGTTCTTGACCATGCACAAATGTCCTTTTCCATCTTTTAGCTCCATGGTAGCTTTGTTTGGGATGAAGTTCTACAAACGGATTCTGGGAAAGTTGTTGTCACTCCATGGAATAAGAAACTGTTACATCGGTGCGCAACAGTGCCTATTACACGGAATGTGGAGACTTCAAGCTCAAAGAAAAATGACCAAAAAGGAGAGAAAAGTAAGAACCATTTCGTTAAAAAGCAAAGGTTGCAGGGTAGCTCAAGTTAGATTATTGCTAATAAATTATTTCAATACATTATTTGACGTTTCAAATCATACCTCACTAGATTTCTATTGCTATTTCAAAAACTTTTATCAAATCACCATGGAGCATTTCTCTTTTGTCAATTTGAATCCTCGAAACAAAGCACTTCCAATTAAGGACTCATCTCTCAGACTCTACCAAGCGCTGCTAATTTTTGGACTTGGCTAGAGTCAATCAGTCCTTTACTGAGACTCAACCTGGGCTCAAAAGCTGTGGTTCGCAACCTCAATGAAAACAAAGCATAATATGGATCCATTCGTATAATTCTTGATGTGAAAAAAATCACTTCTCTCTGCAACTATGAGCCAGTCAATTTTATATTTTCAGTATTGGGAGTAATTGATAGAAAACTACTTCATTTATTTAAATTTTATTCGAAAAAGCTTACAGGAGCCGATATGTTACTCCAAATTCTACACTTCCATTTCAATCTGTAGGAAAACAGCTTTAACATTTGACCTATGTGTCCTTAACTTTGAGCATTGCTCACTTATTTATTAACTGTTGTTATGTTCACCAGGCCCAAAGAAGGAGGACACTCCAGCAAAACATGATGAAAATTTGAATAACCAAACACAAGAACTTGCACAACAAAGCAACACTGAAATTAAAAGCGCTAAAGAAACAGCTGAATCTCAGGAAGGAAATAGCAAAGAAATGAGCAAAAAAGCTGAAACGATTCCACCTATTGATGGCTTGCCAGCTCCATCTGCGGCGTAATTGAACCATGAGATTTTTATTTTTTAATTAAAAAGATTATTTTATTACCAATCAAGATTAATAAGATAGTATTAATAAAGAAATTTAATTAGTTTTGAATACAAACATGCGTTATTTTTGAACTTAATAGTCCCACCATTCATTTTCTGGTTTATTTCTGTATGTTTATTTTGTTACTTTATTTGAAAATACCAGAGTGTCAATGAGAATTTGTTCTCAATTTTTGGTACTCCCATAGTATGTGTACCCATGTTGGAGTTGGAGATAATTTTATTCCGATTTTTTTTATTCTAGTTCTATTACGAGTTCAGGGCATGTCTGTGTTAGCCAAATGAATACATGGTACACCCCTCTTCTGGAGCGCCCAAATTTGTGTTATTTGTACTCTTCCATAATAGTCCTGCTGGTAATTTTCCGGTCTATTTTCTTTGTGTCTAGGTTAAATGTTTATTTTTGTAATTTTAATATAAGACACACGAGTGTTGATAGGAATTGATTTAAGTTATTATCTCAAATTTTGAAGAAAAAAATTTGTTTTCTGTCTTTCCTGCTGTTGCCTATTTAGTAATTTTCTTATTGCCTAAACCAGACTGTTGAGTCAGAGTATGGAAGTGGAGTTCATCCTGTTCTAATTGATTGTCCTGATCTGTTCATCCCTATTTAGATGAAATGTTTATTTTTGCCTTTTTTTAATCAATTTTCAATTAAATTTAGTTTTAATAGAGAAATTGAATCGAGTTTCTATGGACACCTGTTGGCTTATTGGTTGGCTCATATTTACAGTGAAACTATATTTCTTGTTGGCCCCAAGCATCAATGAAGTTGACTTTGGGAAAAATCTAAGTACACGTATTTAAAACAACGGACTCTTATTTAGAATATAATAATTAGTGTTATTTTGTTCTGTAGTTAGTTTAATATTTAGTATTTTTTTTCGGGACAATTTTAAATACAGAAGCAATTTCTAACTACTTGAATGGTTGTGCTTTTTATGGAAACCAAGACACAAGGGCCGTGACAATTAGTGTCAGAATTTGGCTCAAATCACATTTTTCTAAGAATCAAGTTATCTCAGAGAAACAGGCGACTAGTACTAGTCTAACCACCACAGAGACAAAATCTTTGAAATAGGATTTATCATGTATATTGACACAAGTATTCTATAGCAAGAATAAAGATCAATATTCTCTGCGAGTCCTGGTGGCTTCAGCACTTGTTTTGCAGCATAGGATAGGATTTACATATTCATCCCAGTGGAAAGGAAAGAAGACAGCTTAATCATATGGTTACCAGTCTCGTCCGGTTACCAGTCCAGGTCGGGTATGGGATTAGTTAGCCAGTTATTTGTTTTCGGAAGCATGAACTTGGTATTGGGAGGAAGCCGTAACCGACCAGCGGTTACGTGAACCACCCTACAGTCCTCCAGCAATCCTCGCGCACATGATCATCCCCGCATGAGATTCGGACCTGCGATCCTACGAAGGGTAATCAGAGATGCGGTGGCGAGCGTATTCCTAACGCTTAGCACGATGCGCCACACTTCCGAGCCATTTTTATCAGAAACACATTCGTAACAACTATTTTAATAGGTCCGAGTATCTTGTTGCAAACTAACGCAAGTATAATTCTGCAATGTATTGTCGCTACCAGCAACTCATTCCCACCCTATACCACAGGAAAGCAACCTTCAGCATTGAAAGTTGGTATCCTCGCCGTCAAACTCAAACCTACTTGGAGCCATCCAAACCAATGGCTATTAAAACTCTCGGAAAACCACTATGACGCAATAATCTAGTTCTTACCAAGAAGAAGGCCCAATAAATACTAATGATGCAATAATTCAGTTTTATCACAAAATAAAGACAACTTGGAAAATGAAAGTAGAGAAAGTTTGTTTTGACAGAATTTAATCATGTTAATGGAACATATTTCTAATGCTTCCGACTTATACATGATGTGATGTGTAATAAGTGAGTAGTAATCAACTTCATGTTCCATACTTTCATTAAATACCCACTGATCTTAACAGAAAACGGCTGTAGCCACTGTCTTCACAATCACATATGCTGCCCCATATCTTTGTGTTCATTGATCATATATAGGAGCTGTAACAAGAGTAAAGATTACTATTTCTATGTGATTCTAGAATGATGCACATTAACACTAACATATTTCTGTAATGTTTCATTCGACCAAACTTCGACAAGCATAAATCAACGCTGTCTATCACTATGACTTGAATCACTCAATAAAATCAAGCATTATAAGCAATAAAACATAATTATTCTATTTACCCTAATTTGCACAGTATGTACATAAATAAACATAATAATATATGAAAACAAAAATTTGAATTTTGTGTGACACTCACGATGCATTAAATTGGCTATATGAACAAGAAAATATTTCAATATTTTCAAATACTTGATACTAGTGTATCAGAGGTTACTTGTACGGAGCTTTGTTCGAAATGAAGCAAGACTCCTTACAATACAACAACAATGAATCGATACAGGATATGCAAGTCTAACTCCCAATTCTTTTGCGCTAGTTCTGCGTATAATGCAAGAATGGCATAGCAGGAATAAACATGACTATACTATGCAATTCAAAAGTCCTGCTGCACACTAACACAAATGTATTTCTGTATGTTTCGTCTGACCAAAATCAGACTAGATCGGACAAGCAGTTTATCACATTGTTAGTGTTCAGTAGAATGCAAGATTTGGTTATGAATACGACTAATCCCATGAATGGACAATCTTCATAAAATTAACACAATGAAATGATTATTAACTAGTTACTGTATATGAAAAGTTTCAATATTGAATTGAAAGAGACATAAAACATAGAAATAACAAATCCAGAAAAGAAATAAGATTTTCATACTTTTTCGGAGGGAGGCAAGTACAGGATTAGTCGATCGAATAAAAAAAACAAATTTCCATTCAAAGAAATTTTCTGTCCACCATATTGTATATATAAGTTTCAATATTGCATTGAGATTGCTTTGTTCTCAAAGTTTAAACTTTTTTGTTACAAAATAAAAATAGGAAAATTTGAATTCCGACAATAAACAGCGATTGTAAAGTAGTTGCATTGATATTGTCGAATTGTTAACTAAGAAGACCTCTAATGGTCACAATTCAACTTCACGAAAAATAGAAACATAGGGAGTTGGAAGGAAAACATTGAAAGTGCTTTTTTCTCAAAGTTGAAACCATTTTGGTATCGCCAAAAAAACATAAATATATTTAAATTCCAACAATAAACAGAGATTTAAAAGTGTTTGCATTGATATCGTCAAATTTTCGAACAAAGAAGACCTCTAATGGTCATAATTCAACTTTGTGAAAAAGAGATAGTTAGTTGCAATGAAAGCATTGAAAGTGGCTTGTTATGAAACCATTTAAGCAATTCTGAAAAAAAACATGGATATATTTGAATTCCAACAATAAACAGCCATTGTAAAGTGTTTGCATTGATATCGTCGAATTGTTGAACGAAGAATACCTTTAGTGGTCATAGTTCAACTTTATGAAAAAGAGATGGTTAGTTGGAATGAAACATTTAGAAAGAACATAATAAGTACACACAAAAAAAGAATACCGGTAGTTGTGGATTAAAACACATGAATTACACAAATAGTGTCAAGTTGTTCATTTCAATTCAAGTATTTCTTGACAATGACAGAAGTCAATTTATATTCAATGAGGTTGTTGTGGGAATGCCGGGAACATTGTCTTACATAACTGCATTCGATTAAAAACAAAAAATTTACAGAAAAAGGATGTCCAACTCATAGCCTTCTGAAAGGTTTCTTGCAGCGAGTTTTTGATGCTGAAACGCATCACCCGACCAAGCCATGTCACCAGTATCAAAAATACCAGTGCTATTTTCCATTATCCACCTCCCCAATAATATATGAATAATCAAATAGAATTTTGGTTGGGATTGCACTGGAAATTCAAATTTCAAATCATTTCCAACCCTAAGAACAACTGGATAATTACTAATTACTTATCGATTTTAATCGTTAAGTATGTTGATAAGTATTTGTCTGTCTGTTTGTCTGTTAGATGAACGCGATATCTCACTAAAGCGATATTGAATCTGCTCCAGATTTTGCATGTACATTCATCATATATCGGACCAGAAGTCTATTGATTTCGGATGAATTATGTTGTAGAATTAGCGAGTTATTAATTAATTAGTGATGGGACACAAGGTGTCACCATAGAGTAAGAGCGCTGTTTTAGGAATCCCTAACTTTCGATCGATAAGTCTTCGGTCTCTGACCGATATTCTCGTTTTTTATTTTGAAACAGGGCAGGCCGCAGGGCAATATTAGCAACACAGGATAAAGTCTAAAAAGTTGGGTTAAGAAGTTTATTAACATTAGCTGAAGATATAATCTTCAATATTGCGTATTACTTTTTATCATTTACAACCATTTTTCAGTTTAGCTATAATTCATAGTGTGTGGCAAATCATTTGACGTGCAGCCCGCAGATAAACTGCAACAAAATCCGTGACCCCAAAAGGCATTTGGGTTGATCTGAATGCATCTGAAAAGCACACACCATTACTTGAGACGGAGCAAATATACAAACACCCAATACATGGAAAAAACATCCATATATAATGCGCACTTTCAGAGCTAAATTTTGTTTCCAGAACTAGGAGGTGCGTATGTTTCATCGATGTAGAAAATATCAAAAAAGATTAATTGATAGTTCATGATTAGCTGACTAATTCACATTTGAAAACCACCCGTTTGTTTCTTACCAGTTGTGCTGGTTATACTCATAATCATATTCAGTTGGTCCTATTAATGTAAAATTAAAAAGGCTATCTCAAGATTAAATAATGTGCAAAAATGTTCAGTTTCATGTTAAATGGTGGAAAAACAGAATATTGTTAAGCACAGGAATTTAATATTTTTTTTCGGGGAAAAGGGAGGCCAAAATGACTGCTTAATTATATCGTTAACCCTGGCCTCGCATCCTGTTGCCAGTACTTATCAAGCATGGGAACTAGTTATTTGTCTCAGATAACCAGAGAGAAAGCCGTGATCCACCATATCTTACGGACTTTCCTGCCCTCAAATTAGATTTATATATGGAGAAATACTACCTTTTCATGCATCGGAAACAACTGAAACTAGTGGACTATTCGCATATGGTTTGATATACTGGATGAGAGGCGGTGGCCGGTGGGGTGTCGTTTGATTATATTGTCGTATTACCTTCAAGACAAAAACTCAAAGGGAAAACATTAGGGACCCACTGGGCTAAGCTATCCACCCCCTCACCCATTTTTAAAGATCTCTCCCGAAGACAAAAATTAGAAAGAAAAGTAGAAGCTTCTGGTGCATCAGGGACAATAACTGGGTAGCTATTCCCATACTCGACATGGACTGGTAACCAAAAGAGTGGCCAGGGTTTGTTATATGCTAGGCTATCTTATCGTCTTTTACCCCTAGACGAGAGGGAAGTTCACCAAAGGTTTAAGCTGTCTTATCAGCTTTTCATCTCTATGAAGACAAGCATAAACCATAAAGGGACTAAAACACAAAAAAGGTAAAACACATTTGAGATTTCTCATGAAATCCACTTTCCTAAGATATTCCTCCCTTACCCCCACCCCCTTTCTTAGAGGTCATAACCCCCCACAATAAGGTCAATAACGATACAATATATGATAAAATATAAAATAAATCAAATTTGAAAAAAAAATTAAACATGATCATTTAAATAGTGCAATACAATTACTCGTGATCAATATAAAGTTCTAAAAACAAAAATTCTACTCAAAAAATTATGGCATTGAGTAAAAAGGTAGTTGATGTTCACATGCAATAGTTCTGCGATAATCGCAATATATATACAATAAATACTGTTCTTGATTGTTGCATTTTTATTCATACATATCACTCACCAGACTATAAGACGCAACGATTTTTAAAACAATACATGTACTGGTTTTAAGTGTGGCAATAAATTACCACCCTGTCCGTACAGAAGGCGCAAACCAATTATTGTGGTCCATAATACATGATATTTCCTCACCTGTACAACTAACTACCTTTTACAATTATCAATAAATACAGTACAAGTTCAAATAAATAGAATTTTGGAACAATATTCACGAATATCTGGCCAGGGATAGACAAAATTCTGATTTATTATTTTTATAAAGGGGTGCTCCGAAGTACGTGAACCAAGATGGCTGACACCTGAACGTGGGATGTGTACCAGGTTAGGGTTAGGCCATAATTTAATTCCTATATTTTATTTATAGGAGAGTCTCTCCAACTGTGGTCACCAGAGTTGTTTGTCCGACGGCCAAAATTGAATGCAAAAGAATATTCCTGGACCGGGAGCGCTTGCAAAAGTGCGACCCGTACATATAAATAAGATAATGATGTAATTGAATTACTACGAATATACACGTGCCTAAACTGTGATAATGACATAACAATTGGCGGTACTCCCGTAGTATGTGTACCAGATTAGAGTTATTTTAGTTCTATTACGAGTTCGGGGACTGTCTGTCTTAGCTAAGTGAATATACCCCCTGCCCATGGGTGTCAGTCCCTTTACACAACTTGATGTAAAATAGGTGAACAAAATTAGTTACCTCCATATTGGTACACATACTTCTGGAGCGCCCAATTGGCAGTATCCCAAAACGCAAAAATTTAGGGAAGTTCGACAGGCCATATTAAATCAATACGCAGGCCTTGGTTCAAGAACCATTGCTCTACGAAATAGTCTCATATATTTAAAGTCAGTGCCATATTCCCAAAAGTGGTAAGGTAATTGCATGATTTGTATTTCTAAGAAAATTTTGATGATATCTGAAATTGGTAATTGCCGAAGTAATACCAAAATAATTACCTATAAGATATTCTATCATTTCATTTAACCCTCTATACCCCTGCAAAACATTAAAATTAACCCTCTATGCACACGGACAGTCATGTTAGGATCTGTAACTATTTCTCCATCAGAATTCCAAGTGCTTTGCATATTAGCGGCTTCGCTCTGAGTCCGTTTCATTGATCTTCGTCTGTTTTTCTTCTTTTTTTTCCCGCTTTTACGATTATAGTGAACGCTCAGTTCTTCGAGGCTTATATGTATAGACTCACCCCCACTACTGACCTCATGTGGTGAATCTGGAGGTGAATATGCGTTCTCTATCATCGCTTGTGTCGGCGTTACGGACGGTATAAACTGGAACGCTTTCACTCGATGAACTTCAATAAAAGGAAAATCAAACCTGTCACCCCTGGAAAATAAAAAATATGAAAGAACAAACAACAAACAAAAAATTAAAGTCAAAGATTAATTGAATTAACCGAATTAGCGTTAGACTTAACTGTGTTATTATCAAAGATTGCACATCTCAGGTTCATATAAAATAAAGCTATTGTCCCACAAGACACAACAAACACTGCTGTTACGAGTCATAATAGATTTCATAAACATCAGTGAAAAGAATAAATATGTGACACCAACTAAATTTGTAATTTACATTCTGTGTCTTGTGTTGAATATACACAAACTACCACAAAATTCAAGCAATGAATCCAGAATAAGAACAGAATTTTATTTTTTATCTGTTATTCAAATCTCCAGTGTTTGGTAAAAAATAAAATGGAATTATCACAGGTCTTATAAGCTTTCCCATCACTGAGATAAATATGAGAAAACTCTTCCATCTTGAAACATTTATTATGATTGAACTGTTTTGGCATTGTAGGTTCTTCATTCAGATTCAAATCTTTGTCAACAACCTCACTCTGAGTGTAACGACTAACAAATTAGTTGGGTAACGAATTAGCGTCACTTAGTCCCCAATTGGCATTGTATGCAGGAAAGTAATGGGTTACAAAATAAAATTTTACGCATTTGTCCGCTTTTTAATGTGCATAGGGATTTTAAACATGTACAATATATTATTGCGCGCATAGAAGCAGTAAGACAACTAAATCATTAACCTTATTGAAACGCCCTCGTGCTAATTGTCCTGCACTCAACAAATTAGCTGTAAGATGTCATCTTATGATGGCGGGCATGTGAACTCTAGTCAACATGATCAACTCCTAAGTTGGGCAATGCTGAACTGCAGAATTCCAGCTCTTTACATATTAAAAAAATATCAGTGTCTGCTTGTACAAGGCTTGTTTGAAGCAAAAGACGTAGAAAAGGGTATAAATAATCTAAAACAAAATACGAACCTCCCAGCATGAACAGCTAAATATCGCAAGAAGTCAAATCTTGAGCAGGATCTGACGAGAATCAAATCAAGCGCTCCGTCCGAGAGATGGGAGTAAGGAGAAATTCCCAACGGTGCCCGCTCACATGCACATGACATTGAGACTCCATTAACTGCCATGAAGTCGCCTTGGATTATCTGAAAATAACAAAAAAAGCCTTAAAACCGACAGAATAAAATTGGGTATGGGTCCTATTGAATTTTCCATTTCAATAAACAGTACTTGAACAGTACAGCTTGGGATTTTGAAGACAATTTTGTGGACGCGGATTTTGAAGACAAATTTGTGGACGGTGGCCTAGTTGTTAAACTTGAATAGAACAACATCGCCAGGTAAAATTTCTGGTTCAAATCTCAATGGCCACCCCTCACAATAGGTGTAATAAATTGGAATAGGAAAGGCCGTACCAGAAAGATTTCGGTTTGTCTGAATATAGGCACTCCCGTAGTATGTGAATCAAGATGGCGGACACCGAAATGTAGTGTGTGTACCAGGTTAGGTTTAGGACATAATTTTATTTCAATTTTCCTTATTTTAGTTCTATTGTGAGTTCAGGGACTAGCCAAGTGACTCCCGCAGTATTTGTACCTGAAATTATGGCCTAACCCTAATCTGGTACACATACTACGTCCCGGTATCCGCCATCTTGGTCCACATACAACATGAGTACCCAAATATAGTAGCTCATTCAACAGCGCTGTAGCAGCCTTCTCATAAATCACAGATAATTCAAAATACCTTCCATTCTTCTTTATCCTCAAATACGGTTGAATTCTTCAGTTCCAGACTAATAGGCCGAGTGCTAATACTCTTTATTGCATCACAATCTAATTTTTGTGTCATAAATAAATCTTTGCCGTTCTCGACAATATTGTGTTCATCTTCAATGGCCGCATCTCTGTGGCCCTGTAAAACATTCACTTTTAATTAAATAATAACTAAGTATTTACAACCTTTTTTTTAAATTGACACCGCACAGTAAACACAATTTGAGGTTTGAGGGTCGGAACTACCTACTTTTTGAAATATAAAACGAGAATATCGTCAGAGACCGAAGACTTATCGATCGAAAGTTAGGGGATCTCCCAAAACAGCGCTCTTACTCCATAGTGACACCTTGTGTCTCATCACTAATTAATTAATAACCCGCTAATTATACGACATAATTCGCCCAAAATCAATAGGCTTCTGGTCCGAGATAAGATGAATGCACATCCAAAATCTGGAGCAGATTCAATCTCGCTTTCGTGAGATATCGCGTGCATCTAACAGACAAACAAACAGACATACAGACAGACAAATGTCTATCAACATACTTACCGATTAAACTCGATAAGTAAAAACATTTTCTGTATAATACAGTAATTTTTTTTAACTTGAAACGCTTTTGGACCCGCATGCTGTTACGGTCTAATTTGGCAATTAGAAATTTTATAACTACGTCTTTGAAAATTCCTGGCTACGTCTCAAACATAAAAAAAGCTCACTTCAAGCTCTGTAACTTGAGCAGCAATTTCATTATCATCATTCAGTCCATCTGAAACTTTTTCATGAGTCATGCTTTCTCGTTTAATAAAAATTGCTGACTCATTCTTCTTTGTCTCTGTCATATCTTCTTGGATCCCAGAATCCAAAAGATCTGAGGTACCTGAAACATAAAAGCCATATGAACCATTGCTGGGTTCGGATAGAACAGGAATTCGATTCGATTCTGAAATCATCAATTATTCGAAAACGCCTAATCGGGACTGAGGTGATTTCTGGTGCTCGATTTATGAAAGTCACATACGAAAACATTGGTTCACATGAATTGCGTGTCAGGAGTAAAATTTAATAGCGATCTCAAGAAATATTATTAAAACTATTTTTTAGCTTAAACGTCAAAATTTGGTTTTAGTTCGGTTGTGGCAGCATCAAGCAAATTACCCAAAGGGGCCGAATTTGGCCCACACGCTGTAGTTTGCCCATGTCAAAACTGAACTGTAAGATTGCAGAAAAAGAAGAGTGGACAAACAAAAATACTAAGAGTTACATCTTTTCTACATCCTATAATAGTATGCATGGAGCAGCGCTTGGGCCCTCAATTATGAATGGAAAGGTTTCACTTCTCAGTGAGCGCGCATGACTTCCTGTCCAATAAGCCAATAACCAACCAGGAAATGTTTTTATACAACAGATTGTCATCAAACAATGAATATTTACCAGGAAGCGTTGATTCCTCATCGCGACAGACGTCATGCTCAGTTACTTTTTCTTTGTTATTCAATGTGTCATCAATTGCAGATTCACCAGGGATTTCGTTCTCACCATCACAGTCGAACGTCAGACCTAAATATTATAACAGCAATTTAAATATTTCAAACGCACAATAGTCCAGCGCAGTCGTTTCCAAAACTTTCTGATACATTACTTCATCCCTTTTGTGTATTTTTCTAACTATTATGGACCCCTATATTCCTCCATCACTATTGTGTGTGTGCCAATATGGAGGTAACTAATTTTGTTCGCCTACTTTACATCACTATTGTGTAAAGGGACCGAAGCCTATTGGCTGGGGGCATATTCACTTGGCTAACATGGACAGTCCCTGAACTCGTAATAAACCTGGAATAAGGAAAATAGGAATAAAATTATAGCCTACCCCTAACCTGGTACCATTACTACGGGATTACCCAATATTCAATGTCTCATTAGCAATATAGATAAAATATATTTGAATGGAAACTTGCGCAACCCCAGAACTGTGTAGGCGCAACCCTAAGGGAGCCACAGAATCTTGGTTAAAAACCACAGACATTAGACATTTAATCAAACGTCGTCGGATCTAAAAAAAATATAGCAGTAATTTGAATATTCTGAATGTACAATGATCCAGCTAACTAGTTTCCAACATTTCTTGATATACCTATTCCTTTTTCCCTTTGCGAATATTGGATCTCTATATTCCTCACTCACTACACATTAAAGGATACTCCCGAAGTAAGCGCACCAAGATGTCGTACAACCTTAACCCTTACCTGGTACACAACCTGAGTTCAGGCTGTCCACCATCTTGGTGCGCATACTTAAGGAGGTCCCATTAAAGACTTTGCTTCCATTATTTATTATTAATGTATCCATAGATAGACTAATGCTCAATTTGCACTCTGGCTTTTTTACAATGGTTTTAATGGGTTTTTAAATGCAGGGTGTCCGATTTTATAGTAATACCAATTCGAATTTCTTTGTCTCTGTTTATTATGAGTTCTTAATGTGCTTGCAGTTCTCATATTACTATAAAATCAGGAAAAATTTTAAATTTTTCTACTAGCCTATAGAAATGGGAGCGCCAGCGAGGGGTCAGAACCGGTACGTATATTCGAGATACACATGTTTAAACTGTGATGATGATGCAACAATTAGCGGGATGTAGAACGCAGAAAGGTAAAAACATGTCAAACTATTTCCCTTAAATTAGGCGGGCCATATTAAATCGTTACACACGCGGTCATTGGCCTGTGGACGCAGTTTGGAAACCCCTGCTTAGAAGAGTTGTATAAACTATACATATACAGGGTGGCCCAAAAGTAGGTATACAGTTATTTTATTTACTTTTTATTACCTTCCAAGCAGCTAGACAACTAATGTAAAATTCACACTAGATTTATTATCTAAAAAAATAAGCAATTATTGTGGTACTTAACAAGTAACATAAAGTGAACTGCAAGTAGCTTCAAAGCATATAATATAGTTTAATACCTGTATACCTACTTTTGGGCACCCTGTATATGAAAGCGATAGTGACCCAAAAAATAGTGACCCAATAGTGACAAAAAAATGATGTTTTACACTGCTCTAGTCTAGAATAGTAAATTATTCTGAATTGCCCATGGCAGGAATAAATATTGATTAAAATAAAATTCTATTTCTGAGTCTTTGTTATCTTCCCATAGAAAACATAACAATTGGACAATTGTTACAAAACAAACATACTTTTCAGTAAAATCTTTTGTCTCTAAATAAAACAAAAAAAAATTTCTTTTCATCCTAGCGTGAGAGCAACAGTTATATTATGAGAACAAACGGTTCACTTTTCTAACATTGAACAGTTAGTACACCATGCTAATAACTGGGAACACACTAAGTAACACTTTTGCAACTCTGAACAACCTATTCAGATTTGCAGGTTTAAAACTACACAGGAAATAAATATCTGCGAATGAATTGCTGAATTTCTCAGCTGTATTAAGTAATAAGGTGGTACTTGTAGTCACTAGTATGTTGCGGATTTCTCAGCGGTCGAGTACTGTGGTTTTGTACATCTACTACAAAAATTTCCATGCTCAAGACATTCCAGGAGTCACCCATAACTTTTTCTCAAAGATAAAACCTTCTAAGAGTTTTCCGTGCCACTAAAGTGTAGTTCACATGATAAATGGATGGCGCTAACTTTTCCCCTGTTTATTATTTCAGTGGCATTTATAGTGTTAATATGACTGGTTGATTACAAATCCCATTGTGTTCAAACATGTTATTGCTCAATAAAGGGAAAACGCCTCCTGAAATAAGTTGAATAACTTTATCAAGCAATGGATCTGGGAAAAACGGGAAGTTTTTTTGTGAAAGGAAAAGTAAAATCAGTTTTCTGCCTGACATAGTGACCCCCCTTCAACTGCTCTTGGGCCACGGGCCCCCAGATGGGAACCATTGCTCTATCGTTTGAGTCCGTGGCCCAATAATGTCAAATTGGTAAAATCAGGTGTTCCCATGCCAAATCTGGGATTCACAAAATCAGTGTTCCCATACCCAATCTGGACTAAATATAAACCCTCTCCACACCTGAATATAAAATTTCTATTCAGTAATTTATATTTAGATAAGACCTGTAACTATTCAAACCAATTCAGCTGAAGTATTTGGATAAATAGGTAATTGGGTCGCACCCTTCAGTATTTACATAGCAGCATCATGTTATTTGGCTATTGTGAATGTTCAAATAAAATAGTTTGACATTGATATCACTCAAAGGAGATTATTTTAGAGCAGTGGCTCCCAACGTTTCATGGCTTGTGGCCACCTAACGAAGGCTGCTTTTAGCAATGATAACTCTCCTGTTTGTCATTACAGTGATATTCATTGTGTTATTTTGATTGGCCCCATTATATTCTTTAAACAGTTCATGCTTAACAAAGTGAAAACACCCTGTGAAATAACATTATCAAGCAATGAAACTAAGCAGAAAGTGATTCCTTGTAAAGGAAATCAGTTTCCTACCTAGCATTGCAGTCCTTCTGAAGTGATTTGTGACCCCATTACGCTTCCCCCATTTAAAAAACAATGCTCTAATAATTAAAATGTGGAACTATAATTTTAGATGCCTGTCCATGCCCAGGAAAGGGTAACCCAGGAGTCTGCAAATACAGGGTCTCGACCCAAATTTGGGTCGCAAAACCCTTCAACTCTAGATCGCAAAACAATTTAAATTTGCCATAAATATAGGCATCGCGTCTGTGTATCGTATTTATGTACTACAACTTTATAAACCTCTAATTATATTTAAGGCGACGTCTATGATGCCTTAATTAACAAAAAAAATTTGAAAATTTGACTACCTCAGCTCGGAAATTTCAGGGAAATCAAAACTGGTGATAAAATCCTTGGTGAAATAAACTTTGGTGATAACAACTTTGGTGATAGAAAAGTTTGATGATAAAAACCTTGGTGATAACAACTTTGGTGATAGAAAAGTTTGGTGATATAAACTTTGGTGATAAAAACCTTGGTGATATAAACCTTGGTGATATAAACTTTGGTGATAAAAACCTTGGTGATAAAAACCTTGGAGATAGAAAACTCTGATGATAAAAACTTAGATTTAAGGAAGCCTTCCTGAAAAACATACTGTTAGGTACGCTCAAAGTTTCAAAAAACAAATACTGACACCTATTATTATCACTCGAATATCATTTGAGAGCCTGTAATTCAAACTTCAATTTCGGGGAATCCAAAATACCAACCCTAATTCCAGGGGGTCTGAAAATACAACTCTGGCTCAACAACCAGGATTTATACATACACCACTCTCATAAACCATTTGTGAACTTCTTAGCGGACACTCAATTTATGAAAAAAAAAAACTTTTTGCTCAGCATCTATAAATGAGGAGCCAGTGGGTGACGTAATTTTTGGATGACATCATCAGGTAGGGGTTAGGAATCATATATCCAAAAATTGTTACGCCACGCCCACTAGAAGTTATTCAGGTAAGAAAATGCATGAGACCCAACTCAATTTATCAAAAAGAACAAACCTTTCTGCTCAGCGTCTATAAATGAGGAGCTAGGGGTCACAGGAGTGAATAAAGATGATTTCCTGTCGGCCAATCCATCCTGACAAATTTCACACGGTGTTCGGCAAAAACTTAGGCTTTTAGGACCTATGATAAACATAAAAAAGACGAGAATTAGGTTAGACACATAACTGAACAAAGTTAAGAGTGATCAGCTGACAAATGAAATGATGAGTGATCTGAAACTATACAGAATTACGTTGGTGCATTACGATCACTCATTCAGAAATAAAATCTCTGAAAAAGCTACAAACGGCCACTAAAATGACAATTGCCAAGAGCCGCAGCAACTTTGTAGAATTATAGCAGTCCATTATAATTATGGGCATAAAAACTTGACTGGTAGACTAACACCATGCAAGCATATGGCTTTGATTGCTATTGAGTTTGCAGTGATATCAACACAGAAATATGAACAAAAATTCCCCAAAATGAGTCACATGTCCACCAAGCTTCAAATAATAAAAAAGGACTTTCCTGTACGATATATGCTTCCTTTGTCTGATATGAAACAATTAATTAGGCATTTCTCAAACTGGAAGGAATACGGTGTTTCGTGGTGATAAATTGTATTTGGTGTCGTTCCATTAATATTCAAAAGGTGTTACGTATTGTTAATATTAATGAATATCTAGGCACATAATTCATCTGAGTCCAGGGGGTGTTTTTATACATAGTTAGGAAGAAGTAAATGGTCTAAAATAGGCTAAGAGATGTATTTATTATCAAAGGTTGGCCACAACTAAATTGATAACCAGCCAACCATTCCCTTATCTTGAACTGGTAAAGAGATGAAGAGGGGTTTCCACTTCCCCCTGATAAAAAAATGCGAAAAACCAGATAGGAAGCATGATGTGTGAGCCGACTGGTTTAGTCTGATCTTATAGAAAACAAGAGCTTTTATACGAATATACAGACCTTCTTTACACTCTGCTGGCACATAATGAACCTCCCCGCTGTAGGATTTGTTCTTCAAAAAAACATTCGCTCCCGCAAGTGAGTATCGAGGAGGCCCCATCCATCTTAAATGCTCACTCTGACGCATCATGTCACCGAAGTATCCGTAACCTGTAAGCAAAAAAATTAGGTTATTTCAAAACAGTGGCGATGCATCGTGCTATGCATTATGAATATGATTGCTACAGCACCTCTGATTACCCTGCATGGGTTAAAGGTTAGAATCCCAGAGTGAAGATAGTCATGTGTGAGAGGATTGCTGGATTATTCACTGCCGAAGGGTAGTTCACGTAACCGCTAGTCAATTACGGCTTCCTCCACCATCAAGTCAATGCATATGAAAACAAAATAACTGGCTAAGTAACCTCATGCCCGACATGAACTAGTAAACTGACGAGAGGCTATGGTTCGCCATATGATTATGCCGTCCGGATAGCTTCCCTCCACCCCCTAAGATAAATATGCGAAACCCATCCTAACAGCTTTGCTGGCACCGATGTACGACCTTTGAACCCATATATTTGAGTATTGCTCTCTTGTTTGAATTGTGAAGAGGGCTCAATGGTGATGGTGTCACTGTGTGAATTCACGTCTTGTTATTTGACTTTGTACAAAGGTAATACAAAGTAAATAAGCTTGGTAACGCAATTGCTATTCTCTTTACTCATTATGTCACAAGTCAAGTCAAAATAACAGAAACTCATCACAAATTGTTAGTTATGTGGCTGCTTGAGGTTGGTCATGGTCAAAGCAAAAAAAAAAAGATAAATAAATAATAAAAAACTAATTATTATTTTTAAACCAGCAGTTCACAAAGGGTACGTCATGGAGAGTTGCTAAGTACGCCACAAAAATCAACAGAATTGTGTTGAACACTAAAAAAATATGAGTGTGGCAACCGCTGATATAAACGGTAATACCAGGATGTCCATATTAAAATCTCTTCACAATTTCGATTTCAAGTCAATTCTCAGTATATCTAGGTTTGTTGTTTACAATCAGTAATTTGTTGGGTATTTTTCACTTCATTTAATACATCTGTGAGTCAAAAACAAGACATGGTATCAAATCAATATTAATATGAATGATTAGTCCCGCAGACACCAAGTCATTAGCGCAAGTCAATATGTTGCAATTGCAATTCAAAAAAAGTTCTAGACTTTACCCTATAGATCTGGATTTGTTGATTTATACACAAATAGTGGGAAATCATGAATGGAAGTATATTACATTTTGAAACAATTTTGTTATACTGCACAAGTCTTTTAAAAATTTGTAAACGAAAATATTTTACACACTAAGTGTGCTTATGGATCAGACATGGACAAAGTACGGCCCGTGGGCCAAATCCAGCCGGCCTGATGCTGCCACAACCAAACTGAAACCAAATTTTGATGCTTAAGGTAAATGTAGCTCAAGGAATTCATTGAGATTGCGGTTAAATTTAGTTCTGTAGCGAGGTTTATTGTTTTCTACTGTTGCCCAAGCAACACTGTAAACATTGTTCATAAAATGTAACTCTTCATTTCATACACACATGGTCCGCCAGTCTAGGTGGGCAAAATATTTGGCCCTGATTCAAAAACCGCGCCCACCCCTGTTATAGATTGTGTAATGGCCAATCTTTCACTATTTAATTGATAGTAATGTCACAGGTCATTTAACACCAATTATGATGTCATACAAATTGTTGTTGTTGAAAAATGCTTTTTCTATTCTCCGAGTCCTATGGACCCGCCTAATTCATCCACAATTTTTCCGTTTATTTTAAGAGTATACTTTTTATTACGTGTGGGAACATTGTATTCTGTCATGCTTGTCTGGAGATCATTTCAGCAAACCAGATGCTCAGCCGAAGCTTTGCTAACACCGATGTACGACCTTTGCACCCATGTATTTGAGTATTCCTCTTTTATTTATTAAAGAGTGATTTAATGGTGATGGTAACACTGTGTGAATTCACGCCTTTTGTTATTTGACTTTGTACAAAGGTGAGTAAACACGCTCGATAACACAATTGCTATTCTCTTTACTTTATGTCACAAGTCAATAAACAAAACCAAGATGCAAAGTCAAATGATACATTTTTAGACACAAATTTCTGAACTTATGGATCGATTGGCGCTTCCGAAGTTGTGTACCAATATGGAGGTAAATAATTTTCTTCGCTTATTTTACATCAAGTTGTGTAAAGAGACTGAAACCCATACGCAGGAGGATGATATTCACGTGGCTAACACAGACGGTCCCGAACTCGTGAATGAACCAAAATAAAGAAAATTGTATACAATTATGCCCTGACCCTAACCTGGTACACATACTAAAGGAGTACCGTTCCTTTTACTGAATTTTTGTTATTCTCAGAAAAAAAGTCACCACCGTATTAAAAAAATTCCGAACTTAAAGGATTGGAATTCTATAGAGCAGTGGATTTCAAACGTTTTGAGCCGCGCCCCATTTTTAGAATTTGTCAAGTCTCGCGCCCTAACTCAAAAATAACTAGATAACAATGAGCTAAAAATAATACTCACTAACAGATAGTAAGGCGAAAGTATGTTATATTAAAAAAAGGCTGTAAATACGTGGATGTAACGTAAATGATGAAATAAATGGAGTTTTGAAATGTAAATATCCAAAATAAGGCAGGCAGGATCACATCTAACAAATATTTTTTTTTAGCTATACTCCCCCTCAAAATATTGTCTATTCCCCCTTGTGGAGAACCACTGCTCTAGAGGACTATAACTGTAACGCTCAGTAATTCACCCAAATTTTTCTGTTTTATTTTGAATCATAACAAGGAAACACTTTATTCCATCACGGTTGTCAGACGACCTTTTAAGCAAACTCATCGCTCAGCCAAAACTTAACTGGCACCAAATGTGCGACTTTTGAATCCATAAATGATTAAATTTTGGACACAAAATTATGATCATTCAATTAAATTCCTGCCATACTTGGATAAAAGTCACCATTTTATTGGAAATGTTCAAGAACTAGAACGAAAAAGTTTCATGTACTTGGAGTCCTCGACTTACGACGTCGTTCCGTTCTTGAGAAGCGGTGTAACCCAAATTTCAGTGAAGTCGGAACATTATACTGTACAGTACATAAATTACTCTATACATATCGAACTGTATCAGAAATATTTTTACGCTTTGAGTCCATAAGAAGGGCAAAAATTTAAAAAAAACGATCAAACAAAATACGAAAAAAATGGCTTAACAACCAAAATGGGAATTTCATATTTATCAGCGGGAGGGAGGGGGGAGAGAGGGAAGCCGGTCCGTTGGGTACTTCCATCAAGCCTGCTTGATGCTGCAACAACCAAACTAAAACTGTGACCTACTTCTAACATAACTTACCATTCAAAGACATTGAGAACTGTGCAAGTAAACCATCTGAGTTGTGCAGGGAGACCACATCAACTGGATGAGAGTCGCCGAGAGCTATGTGTAACGCAGACGTCTCTGGGTCGTTTATTCCTTGCGTTACATAACTTATACAGTCTGTAGACCCTGTGAACGAAAATACATTTTTAGTACATTGTTCATTCATGTATTTTGCTCTGAACAAAGATGAGATTTACATATTTATACCGGAGAAAGAGAAGGCGATAAGACGGCTTAACCATATGGTGAACCACAGCCTCTCGTCCGGTTATCAGTCTGGTCGGGTATGGAATTAGTTCGCCAGTTACCGTAATTTGTTTTCGAGAGCTTGGGCTTGATGGTAGAGGAAGCCGTAACCAACCTGCGGTTACTTGAACCTCAGCAGCGAGGAGTCTACAATCCCCTCGCATATAACTATCCCGACATGGGATTCAAACATGCAAAGTAGAAGCTGATATCTAACGATTAGCTAAAGCTATTACGAATATTCAAAAAATCAAAATTATTTAGTCAGAATTTCATATTTTTAATGGTGTTAAGCAAAGATGAATTTTTCCTACAAAAAAAATAAAAATAATTAACAAGATACCTAAAAGTTCTCAACAGTCAATTACAAAATCTTGGATCCGTCAAAATTTTTGTTATCATATTTTGACTTTTACAGATTCGGAGTCAGGGTCACAAATTTTTATATACTTCCAGTCAGAGTTCAGGCTTCTTTATGAGTCTCCTTTACTTCTGAATGGGTACAAATAAGTTCTCTCACAGATGAGTCGACTTTTGTGTGAGTGCATATGGGTTTGTTCTGGGCAAATTCAAATACAAAATAGCCCACTCACCAGCAGGTATGATTCCAACTCTCAAATCTGGACGAACAAACTTCGGACATTGGCGAGGGTTTCCCTTCTCAGAATGTATACCAACACCTTGTTGAAATTGTGTTCGGCATAAAAGTCCATTTATGATCTCGTTACACATCCCATCCCCTCCCACTGCTACGATACCATCATATACGGACAAATCTTTTGTTTCTATAAATGTTTTCGCATGATGCCGGAAGGCAGTTTGTTTTGTCTCTGTTTTTATTTTAGCTTCGTCAAAAATAGGTTTAACTTTTTTCTCGTAAATATTCACCCCTTCACCGTTACCCCCAAATGGGTTTACAAATACTAACAGCGTTTTTGGGCGGCAATCACTAATTTTAGATAATTTTTTGTTAAAAATATCAACCCAGTATTTACAAAATCCATCATTTGCGGATTTTAATTTCACCGTTGTAAGTTTCCATCGATAATCCTTGCATTTTTTAACAGTTTTAATCTCGACGCAAAAAACTTTTGTTTTCTTTATAAAATTCAATCCTCTTTTTTTTTCTGTAAGATTCTCCGGCTGAGTAAATTTCACAGATAATATTTCCGAGAATGGAATAAGTTTCCGTGGCTTTGCAGAATTGTTTTTATCTGTATTTTCATCTGGCAGGAAATTTATCACTAATACATTATCTTCGATACTGACATTGCATATACTGCTGTTTAAAATGAAGTTTTCGACGCCGTAGTCGTGCGAAGACATGATTATAAATATATGGAAGCTACTAATACATTTTTACAGTGGACCTAAAAGCTGCTGAAAAATATTAAGGTTATACAATTGGTATGCCAGACCATGAGTTGGCAGAAGACAGGGGTCTCATGTAGTTTCGTACCGGTACCTAACATACTTCTAGTGGGCGTACCATGACAATTTTTTCATGTATCAATCCTAACCCCCACCTGACTACACCATCCAAAAATTACGTCAACACGACCCCACAGTGACGTAATAGGGCCCTTCAAACTTTACAAACTGCCATCCAAGACACGCAAACGAGCACCCGAAATCGAACAGTTATTTCTCTCGTTTTCTCATCGCAACAATTCCAATAGGAGAAAGATCGATAATGTCAATCAGTTCTTCATCGTCGGCGCCAATGCCATTTCAGGCGATTGTACGTATCATTGGCAAGCTCTATGACGTGATTGTGATGTCGTAGTGAGGTAATTTTTGGATGGCGTTGTCAGATGGGGGTTAGGATTGACATATCAAAAAAAATTTATGCTATGCCCACTAGAAGTACGTTAGGTACGAAACTACACGAGACCCGAAGACAGTAGGGTGAAGTTCTTTAATTTCAAGATGTCCCAACATTTGGTTCAATAAAAAACAAACACTCTATTTGTCTCTGTACCGGTAACAAGGGTGTCCGGCATGACGGAAGTGGCGTCAGAATCTGCCATGCTTACGTCTACATTAATTTAAAATCATTGAGACTGTCACATTTTTCTTGCTAAAAACTCAGGTCTAGTACCTATAGTTTAGTACCACAACTACTTCTGTTGTGCGTAGCACAACGAATTTTGCATATGTTATTCCTAACCCCCGCCTGACTTTGTCATCCAAAAATTACGTCACTATGACGTCACAGTCACGCCATAGAGCTTGCCAAAAAAGCTACCAGTACCGGTACGATCGCTCTGAATAGTATCTCGATATCAACGATAACGAACTCGCTGAAGCCAGCAATCTCGATCACATACCTATCGAGATCGTTACGGTGAGAAAACGAGAGAAATAGCTTGCTTGATTTCGAGTGATCGTCCGCGTGTTTTGGACGACAATCCGTATAATTTGATGGGCCTTATTTTGTTACTGTGATGTTAAAGTGGCGTAATTTTTATATGACGTAGTCAGGTGGGCGAGTACCTCTAGTTGGCCTGGCTCAACAATTTCTGCATGTCATTCCTAGCCTACATCTGGCTACGTCATCCGAAAATTACATCACTACGAAGTCGCAGTGACGTAGATGGTCGCGCAGACCATCATCCGAAATCGAGCAAGGTATTTCTCTCGTTTTCTCGTCGTAACAATACCGATAAGAGAGAGATCGCTGGCGTTAGTGAGTTCATCATAGTCGGGACAAATGCCATTTCGGACGATCGTAGCCATACTTCAGCAATCTCTATGACGCGGTTTGTGACGTAATTTTTGGGTGACATACTCAGGTGGGGGTTAGGAATATTATATGCAGAAATTGTTATGCTACGCCCCTAGAGTTACTTGAGGGCGCATACTTCAGGAGACCCAAAATGAAATATGCGAAAATGGTTATACAACTTGCAGTCTGTCTCGCACAAAACGCTATACCCTATTTGGCATGGTACAGGTACCGTATATCCTGCTCAGATGAAAATTGAACAACTGAAAATGCGCCTGTGAAGAAAAAACATAAAAACATTACTTAACAAGTCTGTTTGGCATTACAACGTTTACTTCGCCAGACTTGAAATAATTACGGAACATATAACTATTTTTCTAATATACCGGGATATTATTTGAGAAACACCATTCTAAATTTAACGTTAGGGTACAGGAATAGAATTTTCATATTTTTCCAGGGTTAAGGGAGGCCAATAAGACGACCTAATCGTATGGCAGTGTGGCGAACCACGCCACTAATCCAGTTCATGTCGGTATGAAATTAGTTAGATAATTATCTGTTTCAGATGCCTTGACTTGAGGTCGAGGAAGCCGTAACTTGAATGAGCCACCATACACCGGTAAGTAGCCCTGCAGCACATAATTGAATTTTAGCAGTTGAGTACGGTACCTACTGGACTGGTAACCGGACGGGAGTCATGGTTCGCTACATGATTAGGACGTGTTTACCAAAATCGCAACTGCCAAGTTCGATTCACGAATAGGTGGGTTAAAGTACAACCGGAGTTGTTTAGGATCTCATTAATAGGTTGGACTAAGACACTGGCTCTCAAACAGTGGGCCATGTCCCACTGATGGGCCTTAGAAACATTTTCACGTGGCCAAAAGCCTATTAAAAAGTACTATGGTTATTGAAAAGTTTAGTTTTATTCGTGTCATTATGTCAAATTTTTATTGTAGTAGCAATGAAGGATGCTGCTGCTTTTCATTCTAATTATTAGTGTGAGAGTATTTATTTTTACAAAAAGAGTCTTGTTTTTCTTGTACAGTAGTTTTTCCCTCGCACGAGAAAGTTCGTGGGCCGCAGAACTTTTATGCAACAAGAGTGGGCCACGAAAAAAAAAGGTTGAGAACCACTGGACTGAGTTCATGAGAAAGCATTTTGCTGCTCCTTCAAACCGCTACTCAGCGACAGTAGTTTGGCTTTTTTCTCGTCGGCTCTTTTTCCTTATTTTCAATGTGCGTGAGCACGAAATGTATTTTCAAATTATGATACATGAAGGTCGAAAAAGATTCACGGAATATTTGAACAACGGTCCTGTCGATTTATTGAACAAAAAAACCTTCCCAACCTTTATATGTAGCTGTCAAATTTCGTCATCAAGCGTTCTCTTTTGTCCAGACTGTAGCTGTAATTACATTTTTACGATTGTCATTATACACGTTTGTCATTTTTTCGTGCTTTAATTTTTGTGTTGATTCTTGCATGATGGAAATGAATTATCTGAATCAGCTTATAATATGCTCCAGTTGCATGACTTGGGTGTAATATTGCGTCATCATATTACAATACACAAAAAATTTCTTCTTATCTGAGATACACTTAGGTTTACTCTTCTTAACTTTTATTGTAAACGGCTGATCAAGGTTCGGCGGCAAATCTTCCCGCACATATTTGTCGGATTGGACATATCTGGGTTTGAGTTAGATCACTTCATTAACCAAAGCCAAAAGAGCCAAATTGGAGTCCAGATTATATCAAAGATTACCAATTAGTATAAGTAATTGTAATCGAAATTAATTAAGGCAGTATGGTACTGAGGCAGGAGAACAGATTATGTAGAAGAATACATAAATTCAAGCAAGGCTTTCCTGTTTATATTTTGCATTTGACTCCAACTATAATCAGCCTGGCAACAAGTTTACAATAAAACTTTATCTTTAGAATATCGATCAATTTGGCGGTGGCAAACAATACAAAATTATTAATATGATAAACAAATAATTCTTTCTTTTTTTTTAGTATTTTTTGTTTAATGTGTAGTTTACCTTAAGCTTAAGTCTACCTTACCTTAAGCTTAAAAATGCAAATTTATGCTCGGATTGTTACATTCAGTAATAGGATTCATATTTTAAAGGTGCGTTCACACTGAATGTGTCGCGGCGCCAATGTTTAATAGATGTTTTCACGGGCATCGATTTCCCTATTTATTTCGGAAACAGTGATCAATAAGTCAATTAAGACGCAACAAAAGCTATTTTCGTCATTCAAAAATTACGCCACTGCCACGTAACAGAGCTTGCCAAAGTATAGCGACGATCGCAGTGACATAATTTTTAATGACGTTTACAGGTGGGGGTCAGAAATAACGTATGCAAAAATTGTCACGCAGTCGATAGGCAACGTTACACCCCACTAGACCTCGATTGGCTACCGTACCCCATAGGGACCTTTCCCTAACCTTTGACCCCCGGAAAATTCCTCCTATACTTTATCATTGCAAAATTTTTGGAGCTATTTTAAGAGTGCATTTGCGAGTTGGCGCCTGTAAAATGGGGTATGTGATTCAAACCATCATTATGCCTACACTAATTTTTATTACTGTAATTAAATTAAAACTTCTTCTATACCGATTTTTATTCACTTATTAGTTTTAACTTTCTTATTAAAAATATCTGCTAAACAGGTTTGGGAGAAGGGGCTTATAATTAAATCATTTTCAAAATTAAGGCTAGGTAGCATTTTCAGGAAGACACGGTAGAATCATTGCGCTCAACTGTTCTGATCGTATGACCCGATTTGCGTGTGCTTGCATAACAGTGCCGGCTTTAATCGTTAAAGTCCCCGAAAGCGAATTGCTGAGTGCGCCTCGACAATTAGAAGATTTGTGTTAAATATTACCTAATATATAATTGAATATTTTATATAATTTATTTATTCTGAATGATTTATTTTTTAAATATTGTGAACGATGTATATATAAATCAAATTTATTTTACCTTTCTGTTACATAGGGTCTATTGTTACGTAACAGTAGAGGTTAACCCTTACTTGCTGCAATTTCGTACGCTGCAGTTTATTCATTTGATTAACCAAGTTTAGCTAATATTGGTGAATTTGTTTAGCATTTTAAACGAAACGCGGGCAGTGATAAGGAATAGATGTTAATTTTTTGCCTTTATTCTTTAGGCTTACATGTTTATAAACATAAAGTATACATTAACGATCACAAAATTGTGATTTTTTGAAGGCAGCATTTTTTTCGAGTAGGTGCGCCGTAAGTTTTTTCCTGATAATTTGGTGAGTGAACTTGCTGTGCTGCAAAAAGCAATCGCGCTCATCACACTGAATAATTCAGTGAGATTTGTCTGAATAAATGCTTGTTAGTTTTTGTTATCGAGTAGGCCCATTGAAAGATGAAAATTCACATACATTCAAATATATTTTTGATTTCTTTGAAATATCAATATTTAATATTTTGAACTGTTCAGCATTATTAATGGGAACAGGGCCGCAAAAATTTTTAAGATATTGAAAGGGGCCGCGAGCTCAAAAGTTTGGGAAGTTCTGTTCTAGATTATAGTCGTGGGCTTTTTTGTGTCTTGTCCTGGCTTTTTCATCACTGGGATCTGGCAACACTGATATGGCAGTAGTAAGGCTAGCAGTCTGATCTGACCCTGCCGTTATACATTTAGGATAGATTAGCAAGTTAAATTAAGAAGTTGTTACCTCGGAGTCGGAAAGCAAGAACATTGGAGGTAACTAATTTTGTTCGCCTACTTTACATTAAGTTGTGTAAAGGGAAGGAAGCCTATAGGAAGGGGGTCAATTCACTTGGCTAACACTGACAGTCCCCGGACTCGTAACAGGAAAATCGGAATGAAATTATGTCTTAATACCCTAACCTGGTACATATACCCCGTGTGTGCTCCTGAAGTATGTGAACCAAATGGCGGACACCGGAACGTAGTATGTGTTACCAGGTTAGGGTTAGGCCGTAATTTTATTTCAGGTTTCCTTATTTTAGTTCTATTACGAGTTGGGGAACTAGCCAAGTGACTCCCGTAGTAATTGCACCTTAAATTATGGCCTAACCCTAACCTGGTACACATACTACGTCCCGGTGTCCGCCATCTTTGTACACATACTTCAGGAGTACCAAAATATTGCGCAGAAGTCGTAAAATATAGATATTTTGCTTGTCTTCTTAGTCGGTGAGTGGCAAACGAAAATAGAGTAATATTGCGTTATTTTCCTATATCTGGTTGTTGAAATTCTCAGTTCTCGTAGTTGTGTGATGCGATATTGATTATGAAACGATAATACCTCTAGGTTAAGTTTGGATGTAACATTTTTTATGTTATCAGCGTCAAGCATGATCATGTTAGATAGAATGAGAATCGCACTATAAATACATGTTACGGAAGTTTCCTGTTACGGCAATATAAATGTCATGCAGAGGTATTATAGTTAGGAAAAGTGTGACCACCACCTCAGACACAATAAAACAACTAGAATTAGGTTGTCCTGTTAATCAATGAATACCGTAATGAAGTAGAATAATTTTGCTCTATTTTTTGAAATATTTAGATAGGTTGGGATATATACAATTTTCAGGTTAAAAGAGTTAACCACGATCATACCTAACCACGTCATCAGTGCCGTATGGAGGTCGAATAATTTTGCTGTATTTTTTTGGAATCTGACGAAATATTTTCTTAGTTATAGGCGGTAACCATAATCGTGTTTTTAGGATAAGAATTGCGCTGTAATTACTGTTGGCGTCAGTTTTAGAATCTTATGATGGCACTGTGCACTATATTTTGCAGTCTTTTGGTTTTGTGTTGCTTTGTAACCATGTATGCAGTTTTATTCATGATTTGTCTATACGCATTTTTTTTTTTTTTAATTTTGTTGAATACTCGGTTTTATAGTTCGAAGCCGTTAGCTTTGGCTAGACTACTGGATTTCGTGCCCACTGCTTTGAAGCGCGATAGAAGCACGTTTCACTACCCACCACCATGGCAGTTGCATGCGAAACAGAATCCTGATCTGGCCTAGCCGTTATTTGATATTTCTTTTTCTATTCCAATAACTGGAATCTGAAGTTAGGGTGATGTTTTAAAACTTATGTCATATTGTAGCGACCTTTGTTTTCTAATTTCTGATTTCGTACTAAAAACAATAATATAAATATCGCACAGACGCTGTGAAACATCTGTATTGCGCCTGTTCTGTCAGCCCGTGAGTACGGAAAGACTATCTTGTGGTATTTTTTTGACTTTGTGTTGCTTAGTCACCATGTATGTAGCTTTGTCCGTGTGGTATTTTCTTGACTTTGTGTTGCTTAGTCACCATGTATGTATGCTTTGTCTATGTGCACATTACTTTTTTCAGTTCAGTTTCATTGGGTATTAGACTGCATTGAGTTTCAGATATAATACTTAGTCATAAATGTTATAAAAGGATTACCTTCCTCCAAGAAAAGTGATCAGTCATTTGTGACTATTGGAAACTGGAACAAACTCTTTGTACACGACAGGTTCGTTGATATATTATTGTTGAATATGTAACTAAAAACTTAGCAAGTTCTAACGTCAAACAGAATTACCGTCGTGCTATAAGACACAACTGATACTGGTTTTCAGTGCAGGCAATAAACCATAAAGAATTTCCTGATCTATATATTAGAGTCCAGCGTTTCCCAAACTTTTTATACACGGACACTTGCGTTTAATTGGCCTCGCGGAACACCAAGAATGATACGGTAAGATTGGCATAGAAAAATCGTGTAACCCAGCGTACCCTGAGAGTCGGGCGGCACGCCAATACGCCGTGGCGAGTTGCTAAGTGCGTCGCAAAAACGGAATGAATCTTTCCCCGAGCATCAACGTCCTTGTTTACTTCGTGACATTGGCTTCCATTAGGAAGATGCAAAAAGTGACGTAACAATGCTCCCATTTTACATCCGCCCGGACACTTTTCTCACTCAAACAGATTTTCAAGCGTGGTTGTAAACCATACCTCGTTTCGCGTTTTTGAACTCTATTCGTTAGTTTTTAGTTGTGTTTCGGAAACTTGAATATAAACCATATATTTTAATGATCATTCTGTCTTCCTATGAGTTTTAACTTAATTGAAGTATTAAAAAATTAGTGTAGAAAAAGCTGAAATTCTTTACCGGTACTTTAAAAAAACAGATTGTTGTATGCGATGAATCATTATGATGGTTTGAAACACATACCCCATTTTACAGGCGCCAACTCGCAAAAGCACTCTCAAAATAGCCCCGAAATTTTTGCAATGGTAAAGTATAGGGAAATTTTTTCGGGGTTCAAAGTTCGGGGAAAGGTCCATTGTGTTAAACATATCTAAAAATTTGATGGAAAATTATTCTTTCTTATTTTAAATACTGTGTATATATATATGAATCAGTAAATTCATTTTACCTTTCTTTCTATGTATGTCGTTTACTTTTTATTACTCTCACATTCTCTGCCTAGTTGGGTGTGAACTTATAGGTCATACTAGCCAGAGCCGAGATGGCGGACACCGGAACGTAGTATTTGTAGCAGGTTAGGGTTAGGCCATAATTTTATTCTAATTTTCCTTATTACAGTTCTATTACGAGTTCGGGGACTAGCCAAATTACACCGTAGTATTTGTACCTGTAATTATAGCCTAATCTTAACCAGGTACACATACTACGTTCCGGTGTCCACCATCTTGGTACGCATACTTGAGGAGTAACGTGAATTTTAAAAGTCTACGCAGTCTAAATTTTGGACTTCTCTATGAAATCATAGTAGCCTGTTACACGCCTGTTTAAACCCTGACAGATTTGAGTCCGGTTTTGATAACGCCCATTTGCGTTGTTTGATGCATTACTTAAATTAAGTTGTTAACATGTGCTCGAGCTGGACGTCTAAACCAGGAATGTGCAATATTTGTTGCAGGAGGGCCAGATACAAGTAATTGGGTGAAGCCGCGGGCCATACCTAAAAACTCTATACCTGCAAAAGGTTTTGAATACGAAAAGTCTTGTCGTAAAAATATTGCTACGGATAATCCGCTAACGTAAGATCATACGAAACGCCGAAAACCTAAAAAAATGCCTAGCGATATTTGTTTGTTTTTGGTTAATTTATTGTAGTGCTTATAAAGAATGTTCAATTAAAATTTGATATTCAAATACCGCAACGTTCAATACAGTATCGTTTTCATATTTATAAGAATACCGAATATGGCGCACATATCCTAGCACCGCCGTCCACGTTTTGATTCAAAGCATTTTACAAATATTACATTTTTTGTGATCGAAGACAGCCGTTTGCGGTATTATTCGGTATTTCTCCGTTCTTTCCCTATGTGCGTTTTCTAGTTATCATGCCGAAATCTAGTTCCAACATGTTAGATGTTTCGGGTTTTCACCATTAATATATTTTATACAAATATTATGTCCGAGTTTTGACAGTTAAAATGCGTCGAACTTACGAAATTTTCTACTTGCGGAACGACTTAATTTTGTAGGTTTCTACTGTAGTTGCGACTTTGCGAGCACAACATTTTTATGTTTTTGTTATTGATCTTACGGGGTTACGGGGACATTACGCAGAAATGTTGAGTTAAAATGCATATATTGAAATCTGCTGTTCTACTTTATTGTCCGACTTTAAACGAATTCAGTGAAAAAAACGATTTTATAACATTGTGTATTTGGCTAGCTAGTTTCGCTAATATGACAGTGGTACTCAGGTACACTGGTATAGGTTTTGGGGCGCAAAGAGATTGGAATTGCTTTCACGTAGCAGATTAACTATAAACAAAATCTCATTCCGCGGCCACACGATTTAAAATTGGCACTTCTCCACGAGATGCAGTTTGCACACCCTGTCTAAACCATGCATATGCTCAAATCAGAGGTTCTCAAGATTTTTCAATAAATTTTTTCCTATTTTGAATCTCTTTACTTATTACCATTGCCCATTGTAACTCGCCTATGAGGCAAAATAAAATCACTACCACACTAAACTACTTTGACACTCTGCAGACGTAAAATACGAAATTGGCAGGAGCTATTTCTTGAGGATATATTGTTTTTTAGCCAGAAGCTAAGCGGAAAAGCCAATGTTTATAATATACCCATTGATACCATATTATTCTCTTTTTCCTTTTTCTCAGTTATCGCTTTCAATTGAGAATTTCTTCTTTGTATCTCTGTACCAAGTAATTATCATTCTTTCATAAAAAAAAACTGTGTTTTGGTTCCCCTATATTTTGCGCCAAGCCGTATATAAATCACACACTCTGTATCTAATTAATTTATGTTAATCAAAATTTCACATCTATTTTAAATGATATGTTTATATGCAAAAAACATAAGATTTTACACTTATTTCAAATGCAATTCAACTAGAATTTTCATTTAGGACAACGTTTCCACGTTGTCGCTATATTAAAAAGTTGACAACAAAAAAATGTTTCTACGCTAAGATTAACACAAAATCAGCATAAGTAAGTAAAACTGTGATCAATCATCAGAAAAAATTTATTTTAATTCGAGATTGGCACCGGCTTCTGCAATCACTTTCTTGAACCTTTCCAACATACTATATTTGAAATTATCACTATCCGCCACCAGCGTTTTAACCTGACATTGACGAACGATTTCAGTTATTGTTGATATTTCTTCGTCTCCCCAAGTAATAGAAAAACAGTCACATAGATTCAGTCTATTTATCTGCAATATATAAAAAAATAAACATAGTTGACCTTGGAAAACAAATCAATGGTGCTGAATAACCTGAAACACGTTAACAGGGATAAAGGCAATTTCTTATTTCATGAATATTTCTGATTAGACTGATAATTTTACCCACTTTCTTTTGTTTTCATATAGCACAATTGAGAGTTATGTATTCTTATGCTAATTTATGCAAAAAGGTATGTATCTTCAATACAATGTAAGTCGTATATTCAAGGGATATAAGCCATGTTTTCATATTTTCCATTTTGTCCCGATTGTTAAATCAATTCATATGATTTTCACGTGGGTTGAGTGGACAATACCCAATCGGAAATATTTTTTTTCTTTAAATAATATTGAGTTTGCGTGAGTACCAGTGGCTACATGTACTTGCATAGAGCCCTGCTCTGGGTGTAATTAGGAAAACACAAGTAAAAAGATCGCTGCCAGACATTATATAGGTCAGACGTTAATTTTTAATCACAGATGTAGTGCAGTAGGGCTACTCAACTGGCGGACCGGTCCGAAAACGGACTTTCCGAGTGTTCGAACCGCATGCGTACCTAACTCTTTATTTGAAATCATTGGCCCCACTTTGGATATGTGAATGTTTTCTTTTATTCAATGACTTTTATATAGTATTATATCTTATTTTATAATTTGCTCATAATTGCACCTGACTATACAGTATATGGGACGAACTCTATCGCCGTAATAAACAATGTGAATAGCGCTATCTTGATTAGCGAATAATCATTAGCCGCATTATTTCTGGAAAAACTGGACCCTAGTAATTTTGAATTTTTTATTCGGATCTTTAGTACAAAATGGGTGAGTAGTCTTGCAGCAGTAAGCATTAAATTAAATTGTTGTCTAATTATATTTGCGATAATGTTAATTAAAGAATGATGATCAGTTGTGCCGTAGATTTCTTAAGATAGAACTTAACTGTCGTAGATAGAACTTAATTGCATCTGACAATGTTGATGTCGCGAATTAAAGATCTTGGTCTAGTTCAAATCCAATGTCCTTCTCACCAAAAGTTTAATTTAATGTCATAGTCAATGACATACCAACCGGTTTCTGGTGGTCAAAAAATAGAAGCTTTTTGAGTATCAGTGGCTCGAATATAATTGACGATTTAATTGGAGTTAAAACAATATCTGAAACCTAAATAGGTAATAAGGCTACTCTTGTTTCATGACTTTTGAGTTCAATTTCATTGAAGCGAATCCGAAGTCAGCGGTATTTTGCAGACAAGAAAAATATTCGTGTTTTTAGATTTTGTAGCAAAATTGTCTAATTAGTATTTAACGCAAAATTATTATTTTGAAAAATAGAAACCTTATTTCGTAAATTTATAATTATGCTGGATTTAACTATGTTAGCTTCGCGAGTTGAAATTGTCTTGAGTTCTAATCTCATATCAACCACCTCAACTCGGAAAGAAATTTAATTAAGCGTGCAATGCTGAGTCAGAAAATACCGTACGCGTATCAGTAATGCTTGTACACTTACAGAGCCTTGCTCCGAGTGAAAGTGGGAAAACGCTTCACAAATGTCTCAGAGCTGTCGACAACCTGTAGCTTGAAATCGAAATATCCCATGCAACGGATTCTGAAACAGGCATCGCGATCACTCCACTGCATGAAACAGTGGACAAAGATTTTTTTTGCTGAGCTGAGCATTCAATTCATGACCGATTCCAGCACTTAAAAATGTATTTCTATATCAACTGTGTTCAACGTAAATTGTAGTTGCGTCGACTTACTTCAAAATAAAAGCACCGCTACTTCAAAATATCACGGCAATCTGCACATATAAAAATAGGTGGTAATCTGCCTGAATATATATAGTAGTGATTAGTAGTTTAGCGATCTTGCAAATTCGCCAAATTTGATTTGTTACTACAACACTGACAGTACCTTCACTCAGATTACAGTATTTTTGAATGTTAGTATAGTATTTTTCAATTCGAATCGATCAATGGCGCAAAGGACCACTGAAGTTATAAGCGCCATGAAACATATAACAACAACAAGGTATCACCGCTTGAAATACCCCATGTGCGGTTAAATTCCATGAAGTAACATTTATTTTAGTACAATGCAATATTGATATTGAGCTTATATATCGGCATTTTCCAATGGAAAATCAAGTGCGGCCTTCTGCACACGATAGTCTTATGACACGATAGTCTTACGTCGTTAATTAATATTTTTCTCGCCCGGGACTGCGCCTGAGAACGCCCTATTATGCGATCATTGGCGAAGTGACGGTAATTTAAGAAGTGAATCTGAATCTCAAATTTCCGACTGAAAATAATGGAGAAAATATTACTACTGAAATACGGTGGTTTGAAATACCAAAAATAAACGAAGAACACCTTGAACTTTGACGAGTCTTCGGTAGGTAGAACAAAACTATAGTTTAGACGCTTTAAATCACTATAATTTAATTGATAACTTGGAAGCTATATCATTGCCCATTCTTAAACGGCAAAATACCAATATTCCCTCCCTGAGTCGTCATCTCACGAAGAAGGAAACAATCGTCGATGCTAAATAAATTTAGCCTGCAAAATCGCAGGCCTCTGTTAACTACTTTTTCGATCTGATAAAAATTTAAATAGGGGGAGGGGTGATGATCAGGATGATACACATTAATTCAGCAATGTGTCAGGAAGCTATATTATAGTACATTCACCCTACCCAGCCGGTTGGGCAGGTGCCATTTTACATAGGTTATTTTTTTGTCAGACCTAAAGCTTCACTCATGGCTTTTTAATAGCGTGTGATAGAGCTCTATTCAGCAATATATGTAAAACGAACTCCTCTGAAAAAAAATTTTTTTACGCCAAAATTCCAAAATTTATATTGAACTTGCGAGATTTTGTGTCTAGTAGAAGGTTAATAATTATTCTTAATGAATTATTTTTTATTTCAACGTTTTCTTGTGTTATTTTCCAACAGAACAACACCAAAATCACTATTATAGCAAGAATGGTTACTCTAAAATTCACGATTGTATTTACAGGATTTTCTAGTTAAAGGCTTCTAATTGACAATTTTGATGACTCACACCTTTAATTATTAGTGCACACGCCCCCCTCAATGCAAAAAATGTTACTTTTTTCGACGGAAATGCGCGTAGAAAGACGTAAACATTCTAATGCGCGCCGCTATGCGTGAAAATTACCAATAATTTTACGTTTTTTACACGTTTAAAAAATCTCGGTGCAGTCGAAATCATGTTTATCAAAACATCACAGCGCCAGGGATAGTTTGTATGACTGAAAATACATGCTAAACCAATAATAAGTCATTATAAAGGAGTTAATATTTTTGATTTCCTGCCGTAGTCGCGTCAACAATTTCACACATATGACTGGCGATTTTGAAATCCACGCTATTTATATGATTCGCACTTTGGTCACGGCTGGAGTCTCTTTTTTTCGTGAAATATACGACTCTACTATAGAACATTGACTGTAAAACACCATTAATACCTTTTAGAGTTGGACTAGGGCTAGGCTAAATAATACTGAGTATATGCCATCCGACGGTGTTGGGTGATTATTGAGTTTGGACAGAGTTCTGCCTGCAAACGGTAAAATACCGATGTTCACTCCCTAAATCAAGGGGCTCTAACTCAAACCATGTCGAGGGTCACTTTTTGAAATTTATTGACCACGCGGGCCGCAAACCAAGAAATTAGGTACAAAAATGAATATCCGAATGTATCGTGTTAAAATTACACTTGAATCGTACAGCAAACGATACATAAATATATGCATTTACTTGTGCTGGATATTTGGTTCCGATTTATGGCCTTATTTTGCGTTGTTTTGCTAGTCTTGAGACAGCATGCAAATGCTCGTCCATTAGTCATGTGCGGAGGGCTGACTTGCTAACTTTCATAGTGGAAAAATTACTTGCAAATATAAGAATTACCAAACATTGCAGGTATGCAACGTGAATGTGCAAATGTGCTATTAGCTTTGCAAACCTTACTTCGGGCACAATGGCCTGACCGAAACTCGTTTATTTCGTCACGATGAACATTCGAAATGAAATTAATGTCGTTATAATTGAATTCTAACCATAGAATAAAAAATGAACGTGGTAAAGTGGAATAACAGGGGGAAATTTTTTTGCCTCACTTTTTACAGTTTGTCGGACCGTCCTCTTGATGATAAATGACAGGATAAAACTTACTAATAGTTGACATCGTACTATTTTAGTTTTTTTGTGGGAAAATTCCAACCATGACGCGGGCCGCGCGTTGGCGACCCCTGCCCTAAATCATCTCACGCAGAGGGAAACAATCGTCAATGCTAAATACATTAGCCTCTGAAAATCGCTAGCGAGTTTTTCGATCTGGCGAAAATTTAAATAAAGGAGGGGGGAATCAGGGTGGTGCACATTATTTCAGCAGTGTGCATCAGTTCAATTTGACAGACTTCTCATTAGACTTGGCATGTTTTACTTTCACTTACATATGGTGCGAAATGTAGTGATTCAAAAACCCACGCATGCAGTATAGCTTTGGCTCAGTTAATTATGTTTGAACAATATTCGAAATGTGTTTTCAGTGTTATTCTAGAATAGTTTAGTATTCGAGCACGGACATAACTATCACTGACATTCCTCTTCATTGAACCGATTGCTTTTGCTTGTACAGAGAGAATAGTAATCACACTTCGTATAACTATAAGTTAGTACATTTATCCAGTATATATCACAAATATTAATTGCAATTACAAATGAATCGCATGAGGAAAACTATTGGACTAGGCCTAGGGATACAGGTAATTGGGGCTCGTAGGAAAATCAATAAATTGTGGATCGTTGAATATCTTTACAATATGGTCTATTTATCCCAAATATACAGCATTGACATAATTCAATAGTTAATTTGGTTCTCTCTTTATTATGAATTTTTGATTGTGCAGAATAATGCATTTTGTGCAAAGGAAACACTTAAAGAGTTGGTCTTTAGTTAGAATCGTATAAATATGCGCCAATCGTTACGATAGGTTACTGTAGAAATTGATATACTTTCTTAGTATTAAGCTTTGTCGGTGTCGATGACATAGCGGGAATAACAAAAACAATTAATTCACAATGTTGATTTAATGATTTTATCGGCTCAACTATGTTAGCGTGTAGCAAGTTAGAAATCCGAATTTCCCGAAATATTACAGCTCTCAAAAGGGTGCTACCGTAGTATTCGTACCAAGATGGCGCACAACCTGCTAACCCCAACATGGTACAAATGCTATGTTCAGGTTGTGCGTCATCTTGGTACACATACTTCGGGATCACCCTCAAAATAGTTGAAATTTATTTGTGATATACGTGGCATTATCACGGCCTGGTTTTTCTCTTTATAGTTTCAGATTTTGCTTTCAGATAATGAAACTGAATTCATGTGTTCATCCACTATCTTTCGCTATATTTCTCGATGCATTTCGATTGCTTCTTCTTACACGACGGTTTGTATGCTCATTGTGAAGGTTCAATTGCGAACAATATTGCCTATCAAACTAATTCAATGCTTTGTGAATTTCTGACAGTCAGAATTTCATGAATAAGTGTGAGGTTATCGCTACGATACGTAACTATAAAATCGCTATGGATGGCCGTAGTTTGGATTTTACATTGTTATTTCGTAACTAAGATACCTGTGACGAAAATTTTGTAAAAAGCACACTGAAGATTTTTATAGGACACTTATTTAAACCTTTCTCTCCGAACAAAGCCATGTACAAGCAGCCAATGATATCTAACGATATTTGAAGGTCACTATCTTAGGAAGAAACGGGATTTTCCCAATTCGGTTTTGCCTGCGCATTTTTCACCCTGTTTGAGATGGTAAAAATTGGATTTAAAGCAGAGATGTGTGACCTGCGTTGGCAACACAGTCGAGTTCCAACACTTTAACTGCTATTCCATCACGCCTACTTACAATCAAGGGCGGACACCTTGCAGAGCCCGAGTATAATTTGATCGTAAAGATCATCACTTTTACTATACATCGTAACGTTGTTTTTTCGCGAATGACATGGAAACACCGATAAAAAAAAGATTTCCAGACCACAGAAACCTAAAATACAACTGTTTTAGTGCTCAAGATGTAAAATGATCGCCGACTCCACCACGCATTTTATTGAATGCAATTTACTAAATTTAATAAAGGTCCTATTTAGTTGCATCAAGAGCTACAACGACCATGCATTTCATCGGAATACCGGCATGATTAAAGAACGCTAGAGTGGGGGAAATCAAATATTTTTATTTTAAATATATAACGAGAGTCCAGAACATTAGCCATCCTAATGATTGTAAGCTAGCTTTTCAACCATTTTCTTTTTCTTACACAAGTACCAATTCTTACGCAACGGCGGATGTCAAAGTTTGGTTTTTATATTTCTGGCAGAATAAGCGTCCACATCGGTGACGTATGTTAAAGACAATTATCAGGGAGGGAATGTAGGGCTCAACTACTTTTATTATGATTTTTATGTTTGCGTTTGTTTGATCTTTATTATCAGCGTTTGTGAACTAACCGTCCGAATTTTAAAAAGGTTAACAATATTATGTTCACTGGTTCAGGAATGCGGATATTCATGAAGACGACAGTTTACTTTTTTTTTATCTTGCCTGTGTTATTTTTGCATCGAATAAAAACTATGCAAAGTGGGCATCGCGTGAATCCTGAATGCTATTTTGAGTCAAAATGCCGACCAGAATAATATTTCTATTCCTAAATTTAGCGAAAAATGCGTAGAATATCTTATTATCTTCTTTGACATTCCTCAGTCTAGGAAACGGCGTCGGCGCGCTTGATGCAAAATTAATATTAAAACGATGGCCGAATAAGGCTTCTAAAATTTGACGTTCCTGTACGCCAGCAAGAGCAGTAGGTAATTCTGTCGGAATCCAAGGGATTGTTTCCAAGCAAAGGGGTATAGGTCCCGTGGTACCGGATATTTGAATAGTAAAATTGTAAGAGAATGATTAAAAAGAATATTGTGACGTAACAATGTATCAACCCGACACCATGATTCTTGGTTGACAATGCAAGTTCGGCCCCCAAATTATGGGGAGTGTCCGCCCCTGCTTACAATTGGTGAATAAAAAAGGCTCACCAGTAAGTATAAGACGAAAATAAATAATCGAGACCAATCTCAATTTCACCTTGGCACCACGAGTATTGTTTTTGAATCCTTCCATTGCTTCAGCTGTCAGTTCGCACAAGCTCATGTTAACATCTTCCACTTCACATTGTAAAACGACAGATGCGAGCTGAGCGACACCTTTCACTCTCAATGTGCCGTTACAACCGACGTCAAGTTTTTTCAGCTGAATATAAATAAGTTTGGAAAATCATAAATAGTTTTGCAGCGATTATAGGGTAGTTGATAGAATATATGTTTCGGAAAAAGATAATACAGTATCTCAATTTTTCCGATTTTATAAATTGTTTTTAATAAACAGTTCGAATGGCAATCATCCTGGTTTTTGCTCGAATTAAGTAAGCGCATCCGTAAAATCAAAATGGTCAAAGGGTTAAATAAATCGTTCTTATGTTGAGTGGGAAACAAAAATTATTCCAAAATAGGACAATTGTCAAAATGAAGTTTTTATTTGTGATAATCATGACATTATCTCGGTCTCTTGTATTTTGCTTTGATATCTTCAATCTGTAATTGAAATTCGGATCCAACCGGAAAATATGTCATCTTCTTAAAAATAAGAAGTCAAATGCATATCAGTTGTTGCTGGATAAAAGCCTTGGTTTGGAAATTTTTTACGACGAAAAAGTCGTAAATGAACGTTTGGTGTGAAAATGTTGATAATTTCTTGAAGTCAGAGGGCTGTGGTTCCGTTTGATCATGATACGACTAGAAAAATTATGGTCGAAAAAAACAAATCGATTATTCATTCAATCATATCGCCGATAGTTTTAGCTCTTACAAGCAAAGCAACCCAGCTTTAAAAAATCACGCGAGTTTTACAAATCGGGTTCAAATCCCACGCCCACCATCTCACCCAAGGTGTGACGAATTGGGTAGAGTTTGTCTTTAATCAGAAACGTATAAATATGCGCCAATCGTTACGATATGTTACATAAGAAATTGATAGACTTTCCTAGTATTAAAAGTTGTCGGCATCGATGACCTAGCGATTAGAGCAGTGATTCTCAAACTTTTTTTGCTTGCGGCGCACTGAGTAAATAAAAAAAAAATGCGGCACACTTGTACAAAAAATGCTTTTTATACGATGCTTATTTGAACCTTCCGCTGCGAACGAAGTTATGTGAGAAGCAGCCACTGATATTTAATGGTGTGTGAATTCCAATACGCTTAAGTCCTAGGATGCAACGGAATCTTTACAATTCGGCTTTGTCTGCGCATTTTTTTACCCTGGGTGAGTTGATAAAAGATTTAAAAAATAGATGTGTAATTGCAACACAGTTGAGTTCAACACTCTAACTTAGATGTCGGAAACCCACGGCCCGCGAGGTAAAATAATCCGGCGATGATTCAAAATTGGCGGTTGCGGATTTTAATCATAATTTTATTTTTTCTACGTTCAAGGATCAGATTATTGGACACGGAGTGACTTATAAATGGTTTTGTTATATTTTTTTTATGTAATACGGGAGTTTCAAAATGATTTTTCCTTCTGCTTCGCTGACTTTCTTTCTCTTGAAAATGAGTTTAGTCTGTTTAGTACTCCGTTTGATGCTAACGTGGAAACAGTTACAGAAAATATTCAAATAGAGCTTCTTAAGATCCAATGCAATGAGAAAATAAAATCCACTTTTTATTCGAAAGATGTGTGAATGTTTGATTTGTATAAAAAGTATCTTTCTGAGGGAAATCTCTACCCAAATTTGACAAACCATGCGAAAAAATCTACATCGATGTTTAGAAGCATATTTGCGTGGGAATAATTATTTTGTAAATTAACATTACAAATAACAAGCACAGAACTATTAGTGATGCCAATTTAAAAAATGTTCTAATCTAGGCTTCATCAAATGTGTCACCTGATGTCAAAATTTATCGAGCGTAATGCAACAAGAAGTGTCACATTAAATGTCATTTTTGTCCTAGTAAGACGACTTGAGTCTTGTACTGTTCGCTCGCTAAGTATAAAATTTCAAATTATGATCTTAGTAAAAAATGTGATTTATCAGACACCCGTTCGATTTTTGAATTTTCTTGGAAAAATATGTTCGGCCTGCCAAAAATTGCAACCCTCAATGGTCTGTAGTAAACACAAGCAATGAAACGCTATAGCATCGCTAGAAACTGTCCGAAGTATAAATAGCACCGATTTGAAAATGTTGATTTAGACCTCTGAAAAGCTGGTAAGAATAACCCAGATAAGAATGACGGCAGATAACACCGTTATAATGACTTTGTATTAGCTTAGAACAGCGTTTCCCAACCTTTTTTGGTCGCGGACTATTTTCTCACCGGCGAAAACCTTTGCGGACTCAAGGTGCGTTTATTGCAACCGTACTCTGCGTAAAGAAGCAATAAAACCAAACACAACAGAAATTTGACGAATTCCAAAATCGGAAATTCGCCTCAATTACGCTTTCTTTAAAAGAGCCGACTTTTTGGTGTATATATATATAATGGACTTTTCTGTCGCACAGTATTCATTCCATGACAACGACGAGAATTTGAAATGTCTTTCTATTTTAATTTATTTGATTTCATCATGATAACTTGCGGTAGCGTCGACTTACGATAAGATGAAAGCATCCCCTTTTCAAATTTCCACCGCCATCTGCGAACATAATAATGAGAGAATATATTGCCTGAGGTGACCGTACATTTGAACTCATGTACACTTGAACCCATGCGTATATCCACGGGTTCAATCTATATGCGGGTGCTAAAACCCATGGGTTAGGGTTAGTATGGGTTTAACTATCCGTGAAACAAAAAAAATTCCATAGGCGCAATAGCATACAGGTGCAATTGTCATGGGTTCAAATGTACGTGGGTTCAAATGTCATGGAACCATTGCCTGATTATATTCAGCTTTGATACATATTTTTTGCGATCTTGTGAATTTGTTATCGCTGTTAGAAAACATTATACTATCTGCTATAAATTTCCAGAATGTACCAATTTAATTTAGTATTTATTAAAAATATATTTAAAGTATATATATTAGTAAATCGAAAATACATATCCATCGCTTTGAAATTCTCCCGAACAACTTCTGAAGTAATCGTCGCGTATACGTCACTCGTTAAAGAGCCGACTTTTCAATGATTTTTTCTGTTGCATAAAATATGCATTCCATCCACATTGTGATTCTTTTAATCTACGGTTGTGTTGACGAAATAAGAGCAATACTACTCAGAAAATACCATGACAATCCGTGGACGCAAAAATGCGTGGTAAAGTGTATATCTTGTTTTGATTTTTTGTGAATTCGACAAATCTGTGTGAATTCGACATTACCACTGTGCAACATTACTAAAGTGGAGTCAGTAAAGCGGAGAATCCCAAAGGAAAATGCCCTGGTACGTATACTACGGTAGCACCCGAAATTTTGCGATTTGCAATGTCTAAAAAAGCGTTTTTAATCGATCGCGGTCCGCTCTTCATTTTAGAAAATTTGGGTTGCCACAATTTACACCTACCAGAAAAATAATTTATTCCTCGTTGTTCGAACTCGCGAGAAACACCTATTACGAATCTATCGAAGCGTGTACAGACTCTTGTTTTCGTCGGAAATCCACAAGTGAGTTGTGAAATCCAATCGCTTCAGCGACTCGCAAGTGATCTGTCGCGTCACGTGTTATCAAATTTTCGATTAGTAAATGTGCTATTCTAATAGTTGAATATATGCCCAGCCCCACTCAGTAACCAGTAATTATTGACGCGATTAATGTCATGTGAATAAACTGACTTTTTATGTTTTTTTTTGTAAATTCTAACGCAAATCCCAACTTGGCTGATAGTTAATTAAGTTTCGCAAAAACGTTTGCGGCCCGCGTTGCGGACTCATTTAAACGCTCTGCGGACTCATTTGAGACCGCGGACTCGGGTTGGGAAACACTGGCTTAGAATGTAATTTTGGTGATCCATTTCATCCATGTTTTAAGAAAAAGATTTTCTTGTCCCACGCATTGTGGTTGAGTGATAAAATTTTGAATAAGAATAGAACGTAAAAGCATTCCTATGACGACACACATGGGGTTTTTTACGACTTGCTGCGCCAATTGCGGTCGACAATTACTACCTTCGCAACTGTTCGAAGCTTTTATGCAGTAATAATTAGGGCATGACGTCATCAAATCGTCGAGTGAAGTGTTGAATTTGCAAATTCCGCAAATACAATTGTGAATTTCTCGGTAACTATTTTAGTCATGATAATGGTTGTGTTATTGATTGTTGGAAAATAACACAAGAAAACGATCAAATTAAAATGAAAAATCAGACGCAATAACATTCAAGGTCGATTTCTACAAGTTTTTGGACATAAGGTCGCCTATTTAGAAAAATGTGTCACCTCGCGGAAGAAAACTCCTGCATACGCTTTTTAAAAGCCATGAGGGTCGTTTTAGGGCTTAATGGTTGACGATAATGAAAAAGAGACCATACGAAATGGCCCCAGTATACTAGGCTAGACAGGGTTTTAACCATCGATTTTAACGCATGCGGCCGACCGTCTAGATACAAAAAAAGTTCAAAATATAGGATTTGGCGGCTATGCTTTGCGAACTTTTATAGAATAAATTCATTAGAATATTGACATTTATTAAAATGAAGTTACATTTCAAAATTTGCGACAATCGTGATATTGCCGCGACCTCTAGTATTTTGCGTTGTTATTTTAAAGTCACTGTTGCAAATAATTTACGGTATTTTATTTTATTTCATGAATATATATTTCAAACTTAGTGACCAGGAATGTTCTTATCTTTTTCATATAGCATTATATTCGATTAGTATTCCTCAATTTTGGTTAATCGTAATTTTTGAAGTGCGCATCGGTATTTCACATGCAACAGCTTCTGAAACAGACGTCGCGATCACGCAATTGCCGATATTTTCGGCGGACAATGAATTTTTTGTTGCGTCAAGTATTCAACTCATAACCAATACCAACATTCAAAACGTATTTCTATACTTCTATATTTCTAAAATTGTGTTTAACTTAAATCGTGGTTGCGTCCAATTATAAAATAAAGACACATTACTTTAATTACTCAATTATGCGTTAATTATTCGACTCATATATCATCATATTCCAGGTCGAGTGCGGTATCCTGCATACGAGAAAACTTATTGTGCCACGGGAACGTCGATAATTAATTTTTATCG